TTTTTTTTTTTGACACAAAGAGGAAACAAAATCTTTTACATAATAATTGACATAAATCTCAAACATTAATGCCAATACAAATGTCATCATCTTATTAGTCGCGACATCTCATTTTACAATTAATTTTCAAACACCAAATGTTGCAACTTCATTGATTATGATATTTTATCCATTTCTATAAATATCTCTTCAATCACCTCAAAACCTATTTGATTCATTTATCAAATCTCACACTAAAATTGAACTTGAGAGCTTTCTTTATGAAAAGAAACTTATTTTATATTTAAACCCTTTATTCCATTCAAGTACTCTTTTTTTTTCTTTTAAATCGAGAATTGCCCGCATTTTCTATCCTAAACTCCTTTCTTACTTATCTCTATACCGGGGTTGGCTTTATAATATATGTGGCCTTAGGCAAAATAATATTTTAGAGACTCTTTTGTAAAACAAATAAATATTAAACATTATTTAAATTTTATTTTTCTTACTTTCCGAGATGCAAAGTCTCTAATTAAATTTTTGTATTCAAGTTTACAAAGTAAATCTTTTTCAATTCATAATATAGCCAAATTACTCAATCTTTCTTGTGACATAGTTGAACATAAATAAGATTTTATTAATTTTAATTTTGAAAAACTTCTTTCAGTCGAAGCTAAGTAACACAAATAGTTAATAGTATTCTATATGCTATCCATGCATTTGGAAAATAATTTACCTTTTTTATAAAAATTAGTATGGCAAGTGGTGTTTTCATTTCCATAGTTATAATTTCTTTTAAAACTTTTAATTTTGAAAATAAATCTAAACCATCAACATCGGAAAGCATATCGTGCTTTATAAAGTTTTCAAGATTTAAATAATTTTTTTTCAAAATATCATCATCAAGTGATTTTAATTTTTCCACCCTATAAAAAAACCAAAATTACCTTCATATATTTTAAATTGTTCAAATCTATTTTGAAGAGAAGAAATCATATGATCAACTAAATATGTAAAATAATTAATTCTAAAAGATTCTTCAAGAGAAAATTTTCATATCTTTATTTTTAATCTCATCAAATTGTTTCTTTCTTCTTATTATACGCTTTTCATGAAATTTTGGTTCTATATTCATTTGCTCTGTAATTTCCTTAGCCAAGATCATAGAAGATGTAAACCTATTTTCTCTATAGCTTTAAAAAAAAGAAAATAAAACCTTTCAAGTGGTCTATTGGAAGAGCAATATCCATATCTTTAGATTGTAAATATTTACTAACCGTATTAACAACGAAACAACATATCATACCAAATAATCGTGCCTAATAGAAATTCAAAATTTTCAATCTCATAAGTTGCTAAAGAAATAGCTTCGGCTTTTGTTTTAGGATCCTCACTAGTTTCTACTAATTGATATAAAGCATCTCTTATTGGTTGAGCTTGAAATCTAATTGCTTTAATACTTTCAATACGACTTTCCCTACGTGTTTATGATAATGGCTTAAGTGTCAAATTAGAAACATGATCTTGCAAAATTTTTCATCTTTTTGTAGAAGAAGAAAATAATGAATATATACGTTGTGTCACTCCAAAAAATATCATAGTACTAGCACATGAATTAGCCATATCACAAAGAACTAAATTAAGATTGTGACAACCACATAGTATATAAAATGCTCTAGAATTTATATCTAATAATATTTTTTATACACCTTGATGTTTACCTTTGATATTAGACCCATTATCATATCCTTGTCCTTTCATATCATTTAAGTTAAGTTCAAGAGTTTTTATCTTACTTGTAAGTTCATTAAAAAGAACTTTACCGGAGGTATCATCCACTTTTAAAAAATCTATAAAATACTCTTGTATTTTTATTGGAATTGTCAAAATATCTACACATCTTAATATAAGAGACATCTGTTCTTGATGACTTACATCTTGAGTACAATCAAGTATAACTAAAAAATATTTTGATTCTTTGATTTTTCTAATAATGGTATTTTTTATCTCTAATGCTAAAATATTTATTAACTCATTTTGTATATCATGACCAAGATAATGCATATAAATATCTCCATTTTGAATATGTCTAAGGTGTTCTTGCATTATTGGATTAAACTCAAGCAATCATTTCAATTAAACTCAAAAAATTTCCATTATTATCCTAATAAATCTTCTCATTTGTACCACGAAATGCCAAATTATTTTTTGAAAGAGCTTTTACAATAGCAATAATTCTTAATAATACATTCCTCTAATGCTCTTTCTCTTTATTTATTTTCTCTTGTAAATGCTTATCAATTGTTTTGTTTTTAAGCAATCTCATATGAGCATCAATCCAAACGTTCATATTAATAGCATGTTCATTACTTGTCTCATGACTTTTAAGTTTGGCACCGAGATTTTTTCAATCTCCATACCCTTCATTTGCTAATTGAATATTTGATTTCAAACTAAATAATTTACAACAATAACAAAACACATTATCTAACTCTTTTGAATATACTAGCCATTTTCTATTATGCTTTTCTCCGTTTGGTAATTTTCGAACGTAATGAACTATAGAAAAATGTCTAGAATTTTTATCTCTTGGAAAATCTAAAATTTCTCTAGTTGGACCTTTCTCAACTAATAAATCAATCAATTTTGAGTCTAAATTTTTCCATTGTGCCGGATTGTAAATATTTTTAATTATTGTTGCATCTTCATACTTAATATTTTCACTTTTATTGATTGAAACATCATCTTCTAAATTTTCATCATATTCTTCATTACTTTTTGGTGAATTTGAATTGTTATCTTCAATTTTTTCTTCACAATTTTTAACTATATTTTCATTTAAATCTTTATCTTATTCTTCTAGCATTTGATGTTTAATATTAGTTACAAATCTATTAAGTGCACCTTTTTAGGATTGAATTAGTTCTTCTATCTTTTTTTTCTTATGCTTTTCATATCCAGATTCATACTTTTTAGTAGACATTTTATTCAAATAATAAATTAAAATATAATTATAAAAAGAGTAAGAAACTTTGACACTCGATTATATTTGCTTGTCACTTCTAATCAAGTAAACCTGGAGAGAATCACATGAAAAAAATAAAATATTATATGATTTATGTACATAATTTTATTTACATAAATTAAAAAATTACCTTCGCATTCTTCTACCAAGCTAATTAGAAAAAGTTTTATAAGAGATCCCCGATTGTTTTGAGAAAGAAAGGAATATAATAACAAAATTTGAAGATTTAAAAATTGTTTCACTCATAAATATTTTTTTGAAACTTTTCCGTAAGTAAAAGTGTCTTACTAAAATAAAAATTAAAAGTTTTTATAAGTAGAAGATAATTGGAAAGACATCTAGAAAAGATAGAATTTTTAACGTTGAAATCATAATATCTCCGAACAATGGGAGCCTTTCAATGCGAGAACTCTAGTACCTATGACCTCGTTAATGGAGAGAAGAATGACGTTTCATACTTAAGTGAAGACTATACCTTTTAATTTATCTCATTCTTCACCGATACAAGCTTAAGATAAAATTCTAATTGGGGGCTTCTCTTTCTATGGGGGTCTAAGCATAGGCCTTAATGGCTTATGCTTTGAGGCGGTGCTTGCTCCATACCCGGAAAGGCATCTTTTGCTTGCAACATATTCTCACCTTCTACCCTACAAATTTCACACCTCAGCATGTGCATAATGTTTTATTCATCAACTAATCTTGCTATCCAACATAAAGTTTCTAATACACAAGGGATAGGTGAAGTGGTTAAAATCAAGTAATCTTGTCATCTATAATAAAGTTTCCACTGTAGTTAAGGAATCCAATACACGCAAGATGGGTGAAGTGATTGGAAAGACTTGCTTTATTTCTTAATCTTCCCAGTTCGAACTAAAAGATCAGCATTTAGGAGAATAATTTCTCCTAAATACATGAGACGGAGAGAGATGGGAATAAACTCCCAAATAGGATTCAACCAAGCAGCCACCTGATAAAGCATCATTAAGTCCAACAGAGTAAGGCCCAAGTTGTCACTTGTCAGGAACCAGCCCATGGAAACAGTATCGGCCCAAAGATCCAACCAACATTGTGGTAGGATGAAAATAGAGGAGCTATGGGCCTCCACACTACATAGCTGAGGCTCGAGAGAATCCTTCTCTCTTCTGTCTGTCTTTAGCTGAGATGACTTCTTCTTCTCCTTCTTCTTTTCTTTTTCTTTTTTCTTTTTTTTAAGGATATTAAAGAAATGACTCTGATAGGAAGGTTTCTCTACTATTCTTTATTTTCTAATATTTCAATTTAATATTTTGATTATATTTTATTTTCTATTTCCTCTTGATCTTGCTTTGCAGGAGAAAATATTATCACTACGAACCAAAAGTTGATTGATTTAAAAAAGTAAAAATAAAAGAAAGAAAAAGTAAAATAGCCAAGTCTTATCTACTTGTTACTATTAGCTAACAAGCAACCACGTGCGGGACACGTGCTGCGATCCAGTTAAGCTCAGAAAGAAAAGAAAAATCTTAAACCGGACCATCCTTAGTTCTTTACATCTCTTGATCTGTCTGTAGCCTGTAATAACAGCTTACAAGTGACTATCAATCATTACACAACCGAACAAAACCTTAAGAGATTGTTTCTGACCTCTTTAATCTGGTTCTTTAATACTCAATCTTATCTAATTTTTGAGGTATTCTTCTAATTCTCTGTTTCTTTTTCTACTGTCTGTTTGGTCCCCAAGAAAATGTAGGAAAATAAAAAAAAACTGCAAAGGATATCCCTGTATGGGGAACTGTATGTGTGTGAGTATATCGTGATTTTGTTCATGCCTTGAAATTCTATCTGGCATTGTTGTGTCTATTTAACTATATATATATTTAGCAGAGGGGCTTTGTGGGTCCCTCGGGTGGACATGTTTGGATATTTGCGGGTTCGTTTAGGGGTTATGGATGATTTGAATGCAAGAAGAATGGTTGGTTTATTGACTAATTGGTTCTGATTTTTGTTTCAGCAAGAAATGGGGGTATATTTGAGCTCCCCTAGAACTGACAAGGCTTCGGGAGATGGTGAAAATGATAGACTTCGATATGGTTTGTCCTCTATGCAAGGCTGGCGTACAACCATGGAAGATGCAGTGAGTACTCTTTATGGGTTGTGTGTGCTTTGTGAAAATTGAATGTTTAGGGTAGATGTTGATGTTTAAAGAGATTGACTTCCCGTGGGTATTGTCATTGCTGTTTTGTCATGTGGCATTAACTCGTAGGAAACGTATTGAAATTTAATGTTTCTATGCTCTGTGGTCTACCCAAAAATAGCAACTAATTAAAGTGCGAATTGAACTACATAATTTTGTAACCATCTGTGCAGTTCAGAACTTGTCTGATTCTTTAAAGACGATTGATGATGAATTATAGAGTTTTCTGTAGATACTTACTGTGTTTACTTGGAAAAAATTGGTATGAATTTTGATAAAATGCAGTGTCATGAAGTAGAATGGTCTTTATCATTTTGGTTTTTGTGATATTACTACTGGCAAGTTTATCATTGCAAAAGGAAGTGCTCAGCCCCCTTCATTTAAATGGTACATGACAGCAATGCGTTTGTGGGGAATGCTGTCTATAATACATATAAAATTGGACATTCAATGAAATGTCGAGTCTTTGTTGAATAGACAGGATATGAACTTAGTCAGTCAAATAGCATGGACAGAGAGGCAGATGCGTTTTGGCAGCATTAGGACACCTGAGATGAATTTATGTAACAATGAACATAGGGTTCTTGATTTCAAAGAATATATTTGCATCTCAGGTATCATAACAGTGGGAATCAGATACAGAGCCTTTCAAGCATGTATTAGCTTCACAGAATAATATATATTGTCTTTATGTTATGTTGTGTTGCTAGTTGCATCCGAACTTATAAAAGGTGTTTGACAGCATGCAGCTTATCCCGATTTGGACAATTCCACATCTTTCTTTGGTGTTTATGATGGCCATGGAGGTCAGCATGTACTTGAATGCTGTTATGTTACATTTATTGATATTGTTTTTACATCTGTTGCTATTTTGTGAAAACCTTCTTCTAGTTTTGTTCCCTTTTGCAGATGCTAATATTTTATAATATTTTTGCACTTTCTTTACAACAATGGTTTGCCTGACCATTTAAAAATAGTAGATGTTGAATTAGATATAAGAATTTCTTTTTCTTATTTTTTAGAGGGGCTAGGTTAGGGAAACTATGTATGACCTGAAGGTTCTATGCTGATGTGGTGAGCTAGGGCTTTAGAAACAAGGGTTAATACTTTGAGTACATTAAAAGGGATTGGGGTTGGTGGATCTAATGAAATTAGAATTTGTTTTAGAATTTCAAGGAAGGATTCAAGAGGTATATTGCTAGATTTTCTGCCTTCAACAAATACTTTATGGTGTAAAGATCTATATGTAGCTCAAAAACTTTAGAAGAATGAGTTGAGATGGAGGATGGTAAGATGAAACTAGGGGTAGCATCAGAGTCTATTTTTAATCAATTATCCTGGTGCTGGTGGCTCATCAAGCATGCCTCAACTTATCCTTCATATTGAGAAAGGTTCATCATCTTAGTTATTGGTGATGCTGATTATCGTAGTGGTTTAATGCAATGCTTGTCATCATTGCTGGGGTTAGTAATATGCAGCTCGTGTCATTCATATCAAATCCAATTGTTTTGCAGGTCAAGCAGTGTCTAGGTTCTGTGCTAAATATCTTCATCAGCAAGTGCTCAAGCATGAAACTTATTTGTCTGGAGATTTAGGCACTTCTTTACAGAAAGCTTTTCTCAGGTTATTTCACTTGTTTTCTCTGTACTTTGTTAAACATATGGATGTATGTAATTCTTGCCTTGCTAGTAGTTTTGGTTGTGCCTTTGAATAGTACGTTGTGTGACCTAATAGCTTGGACTCATATTTGGACTGTGTTAATGTACATGTTAATGCTTCCTTTGGTATGGTGTCTTACTTTGTCATCACAGTAGCTTGTAGAAAGCTTAGCACATTAGAAAATAGAATGGAGGAAAAGGATCCCATGTATAACCAAGCCCAACTGGCTGGGAACCAATGCTTACATGAGCTGTTCTTTGATATAATGATTTAATTTGACAGTGGTGATGCCCTTCATATGTTATTACTGTATCATTTTATCTAAGAGTGAACAAATTGTACCCATATTAAATGATTGCCACCATGATGATGGTGAATGCAATAGTATGTAATGGTTTTGGTCAGTTTGTAAGATAACTGTTACTGGTTTTTGTCACAGTTGACTTAAGTTGCTAATCCTTTGGAACCCATGTAGTGGCAAGTTTTAGTATCCTATTCCTAACTGTACCATTGATGCAGAATGGATGAGATGATGCGTGGCCAGAGGGGATGGAGAGAACTAGCCAGCTTGGGTGATAACATAGAAAGGGTTTCTGGTATGATAGAAGGATTGATATGGTCGCCTAGAAGTGGCCGAGTCAATGGCCGTTTTGATGATTGGCCTTCTGAGGAGGTACTCCATACTGTATAATGTTTTTCCAATTGCTTCTAGCTGATGGCAAAATAATATTCCTTTCCTAAGCTAATTGATATCGGCAGTTGATGCAACACTAGTGCAACCAGCACTGAATTGTACTATCATACTCAGATTAAACAGGACTGTTGGTGGGTTTTGGCTGTTTGGGATCTTCTTGATTACTGTTGGAGGGATATTTGTTTTGGAGAGTTTCAACTTATGTTTTTTTGTCAAAGGTCTTATTTGGGCTTGAGGTTTTTAGTTGTTATGGAGTTGAAAGTTTAGAGTTTTAAGACACCTGAAAGTTCTAAATTGCATAATGCAGTTTATACTTGTTTTCTTTAGTTTGCCATTTTTTTCCTACAGAGAGAAGTCTTGAACCCAAGACCTCTTTGGGAGGAGGAGGAAACGGGTGCCTGTTGAGCTACAAGCTCATTGACAGTTAATTCCAATTTAAACTACCTTTTCTTTGTTTTTTATGCTGCTTTTCTTTTTCTGGCCATTCAGATTTAGAAAGTTGCTGTTCCAATTTCAGTATAATTAATGGAAATTCCATTTTATGGAAATGACATTCTAGTTCAAGTATTTTAGTTCAGTTAGTTGTATAAATTAACCAAGTTTAGGACATGTGTTCGCATTGTTTCAGTGATCATATAAATTCCCACCCTTAAATATTAATTATCACATGACTTATCAATAACTTTTGCATACTGGCTGTTATTAATTTATTTTTTTATTTTTTATCTTTCTGTTGTTAATGTTACTAGTTTTGAAATAATATGTTAATGACATTTTAACAACAATAGTAAATTGCAAAAATCAGGGGCCTCATTCTGGTTTTGATGGACCGACTTCTGGAAGCACTGCATGTGTTGCAATTATTCGAAACAACCAACTTGTTGTTGCAAATGCTGGTGATTCTCGTTGTGTTATATCCAGGAAGGGTCAGGTATTCTTGTTCCCTCTTTTTAATAAGCTTTCAGCTTTCTTTTTTCCCCTCTGTATTTGGTAAAAGGAATTGACGGGGTTGTTCCTTAATGTTGTCGCAATTTACGAATTGAAATGATCTTGGTGTTCAGTAAATATATATATCTCCACACATGCATGGATGCTTCCTTGCCTGTTATGGGTCTGTGTGTATAAATTCACGGAGAAAGCACACACCCTCATACTCATGAGTAGAATCTATGAAAGACCTTGTGATTGATTAGTATTTAAATTTTTGAGAGGTTCCTTTAGATATCCATGCTCATTAGTTACTTTTGCTTATTTCTGATTCACATGGGGTTTCATGGATGGATTCTATGATTTTCATTTTCATGTTTTATAGGCAGATTGAGAGATTGGATTAAGAAAAGGAATATATTTATTCAGATAAAAGAAGAATATATTGTTATAGTTTCAAGAAAGCTACAATTGCCATATCTTGGGTGAAACTAATGGATGATGCAGTCAATGACAGCAAAGCTTAGAAATTATATGCATGATCAAAGATTAAATAACTATAATTTCTAAACTTCTCTATCATTGACTGCATCAATGGAGGGCATAGCTTTCTGCTGTTTCCTCTTTTGGAAAATAGGGTTCCTTTTCCTCCTTATTAGAAGGTTCCTTTTCACTCTCTCAAACATGAAAGAACAGTTCTGTTTCTACACCCTTGTGAACAGCATTGCTCATTTTGTTCTTAATAAAAGAGTGCTACCAGGACCCAATTTCTTTGAATTTCTAATATGAGTTGGAAAAAAGAATTGAAAAGGGGAAGAGGATAAATCAAAGAAAGGCTCATACTGAAAAAAAAAAAATTCTTGCAGTTTGGATGTCATTGTATTTTCATGTGAAGTGTAACATTTGGTAAGACAATAAGTGACCGAGTCTTTTATGGAATTATGCCTCTGTAATGAATCAATAGCATATCTTTTCCAAGATTTTACATGTGAGGTGTCTTATGCAAGTCCTTTCTTGCAGGCATATGATCTGTCTAAAGATCACAAGCCTGGCCTTGAGGTTGAGAGAGAAAGGATTCATAATGCTGGTGGCTTCATTGTGGTTGGACGTGTTAATGGAACTTTAAACTTGTCAAGGGCAATTGGTACTTGATTTTTTTTCGACTCATAATCCCAAGACAAGGAGGCTTCAAAAGGGGAAATTTACCTGTTCTAAGCCAATTACTTCTTATGCTCTCAATCTCTTTGTTGCAGGAGACACAGAGTTCAAGCAGAACAAAAAGCTGCCTGCTGAGCAGCAAATTGTAACTGCCAATCCTGACATAAGGACTGTAAGTAGGGTTGCTGCTTTTGCATTATTTCAGAATGCTTGTTGCTGTCAGTCTTTCTTCTCCTTCTAGGTTTTTTTTTTTTTTTTTTTAAAGAGCATGTACTGGTGGTTAAATAACCTTAAATAAGCAACCAGTGTTCAATTCAAATGTCCCCCCATCCCCCATCCCAAGGTTACTGTTGGTAGGGTGTAAGGTCAGCTATTTTATGATACCCATCCATATTCAAGAATGTAGATTATCCATTTATGATTTGTGTACCTGTAGGCTTTAAGAATACTAGATCCTTTGGCCAGCATCACACAATTGGTATATGTTACTGTTGTGCAATTTTTTGTTCTGTCATGGCATTCATGTATAATTTTTCGTTGCACTTGAGTAGGTTGAGCTCTGTGATGATGATGAGTTTCTTGTTCTCGCTTGTGACGGGATTTGGTGAGTGAGTTTCTTCTGTTCTTAAAATAAGCGTGTGTGTGTTGACCCATTACCATGAAACTTCTAATGCACAACTTTCTTTCTCCACTTTTCCTTTCTTTTTCAAATGTACATGCTACTGCAAATTCTAGGTTGCTAAAACAAGGAAATATGACTGGAAAATATCTTTTAATGTTGTCTGCATTGGTTGACACAAATTCATAACAGGAGCAGCTTTAGGTCAACTTGTGTTGGAAATGAGACAATTGGGTTAAATAAGCTTGAGATGTTAAATACTTCGGTATGATTTTAAGATGATGGGAAGGCTGTCGTGATTTAGTAGTCATGCACCTCTTCTTTTGGCCAAAATAACTCAATTTTATTGAAAGAGTACAACTAATGTTTGTATGCTACTCACTCCAAGATGCGATGTAACCTGAAAGTAAGGCTTTTATATGAGCTCTGTATGGAGAATGGTATTTTCCATTGGCATAGATCTTAGAGGAAGCACGTTCATTTTGTAACATATACACTGGAACCTTGAGTGGTGCATGGACTAGGTTGTATTTCTATTTCGCTTTCCCCTTTGCACCCCTTTGATCAATCCCGGTGAGCTTAAAGCAGTTGTTTGGATCTCCATTTTGTTTTGATTTTGGATTTTGCTATTGTTGATAAATTCCCTCTCATTCCATAGGGATTGCATGTCAAGTCAACAGCTAGTGGATTATGTGCACGAACAGTTGAACACTGTAAGTTCTGTATACTTTAGTTAAAATTTTGAACATGTGCAAACATGTAGCTAAAAATATTTCACTCTAAATCTATGCAGGAAACTAAGCTGTCAGAGATATGCGGGAGAGTTTTCAACAGGTGTTTGGCACCCAACACCAGTGGTGGGGAGGGATGTGACAACATGACCATGATCTTGGTGCAATTCAAAAAACCTGTCAATTCAAGTCCTTCAGCAGAGCAGCATCCACCATCTTCTCATCAAGCAATGGAGGTTGACACAAGTAATATGGAAAAGTGAAGGCCGAGACCAAAGATAGCAGAAAAGTGCGCCGCAATTTTAACAATTAGGAGCTGAATTCTCGTGATTGTAAATGATCAAGTAAATTGTTCTTATTATTTTTTTTGCATCACTTCACTTGATCCCTGTATAGATACTTTCTAAGTTTCATCTTCATGAGTGTGTAGCTGGCTTCGCTGTGATTGCTTCACAAGAAATTTTATAATACAAAAAGAGTAATTAGTGATATATATAGTAGTTATTCTATATATTCACTTTGAGGTGAAAGATAGACATAAAAAAGAAACAAGAGAGAGAGAGAGAATTAAAAAAAAATTGAATCAATGTGTAAATTTTTATCATTTTTAATTGGTTTAGATGTAATTCAATGTTTATCTTTTTTCTTAAAATGAGTTTATGAAATAATCATTGTATATATTGCTAATTGTCTTTTGTGTATTATAAAACTTCTCATTACTCTTTATGTATTATAAAATTACTCTTAATGTATTATAAAATTTCTCATTGCTTCACCTGCAGAAGAAAATGAAAAAAATCTGTTTCCGCAGTTGTGTTCCCCATCTCCTGGCGAACTGCTGTATAGGAATATTAATTTCTTCCCGCTTCAAACTTGCCCAATGCAATCATAATTATTCTTTCTATCATCCTTTCCAAGGCTGCTGCTGCCGAAAATGTGATAGGCAACGAAATTAATAACACAATCAGGATGTGTCAGCATCAAGTCCTGGGAAGCCTTGTTTCCGGGCCCTTGGTTTTGATTGGACACCAATATTCCAGTTGCCCAGTTACTCTGATAGCTAGCGGAACCTGTATAGCGCTAGAATACGTCCTAGGTTGCTTCTGACAATGGCAACAGAAATTTGGAAGGTGGGCAAATCACAAGTCAATAAAGTTGAGATACTTGGCGAATCCTGAGAGGTCGAGTGCGCAACAATTTCTTGCAAATAAAGCAAGAGTCTCGGTTGGCCAAGTTTCCATGAGATTAGTTCACAAAGAAAACCTTAAAATATTACAGATTTTAAAGTTCCAACACACTTCAAAGTTCAAACTCTCATCTTTTAAACTAACTCGAAGGTGACGTTGATTGGTTGAGACTTGAGAGTCCAGTCCAACATACAATGGGCAGCAAGAGCTTTCTTATTAGTAACTCCGCATGAAATTATAATCAAAGAGCCAATTTTGTTATAATTTTTAAAGAGCAAGTGGGTAAACAGAATACTTAAAGCTAGTAAGAGCATCTTCAATGCTCTCTTTATATTAAGATTTTTCTTTATAATAAAGAAGCTTGATCCAAATTTCATCTTCAATGCTCTCTTTATCACAATCTTTATCTTTAAAATTAATATAAAGAGTGTCTTTGACTCTCCAATACTTAGAGAGTTCAAATGACTCTTTATTTTATATTTTATTAATGAAAATTACTATTTTCAATATTTCATCACTCAACCTCTTCACCAATAGCATCTCTATGGGTTTTATAGATTTTATCAAAATAAAGAGTTAAATACGTAGTAGCATTAGAGAGGATATTGATCTTCTATCTATATAATTAATGATACTCTCTATTTACATTAAAAATGCTAACTAAAAGTAAAGAGCATCATTGGAGATGCTCTAATATGCTAGTCAGTCAGGACCTTTTTTTCTCCAAGCTTTAATCTCTGATAGCGAAAGCCTTATATATGTCATTCTAGGCACTACCAAACACATAAATAATACTACATAGTAGTCTGTATTTATTTATTTATTTATATATTCGCAACTTGGATGGCTGTTCTTTTGGTTGTTTGAATCTAGCTTTGCGAACAAAAAAGATGCCATTAAGAAGGGTTCCTTGTGAATGAGACTGACTATTTGAAATTTGAATGTTTTGTAACTATCCCCTCTTCCCTTCTAAAAGGAAAAAAATACGCTGCTGTTTCTTATTTAGTTCATGTCATTCTATTTTTGTGTGTCATTTAAATATCATAGATATTGCAGGTCTAGGATTATATGAACTTAGCACAGCCACAGCATCAAACCAGATAGAGACTGGTTTTGGAATCCTACTTCCTTCTTTTGTCAGTTTTTTATGAAAAAAATCCCATCAAAAAGATATATTTTCATTACTCTTGAAAATAACTTGTTTGTCTGCAATTCAGACCCTAAGAAGGAACAGAAAAAAGGGAATCAAAATCAGTCTTCATCACTAATGGACAGCCAAATTGCTACTTCTGAAAGTTGAAGTTGGCAATTCAAGTGTCACTTAAAAATCTAGCTAATAATACAATTTGGGATGACACAGTTTTGTTTCCTTATCGTAACGCAACATGCAACTTTAATTTGATGCACGCACTTTTGTGTAACCATATTTTTATGGAAAGTTCCGCCTGTTTAAGATTAGGGAATTTTTACTATAAAGTTTTGAATTCAAACCTTAACAAGGCTGAGATGGGATTCATAGGTTTGGAAACAGGCAAACAACTATTCCCATTTATAGTTATTTAGTATTCAGTCCAATCATCCTTCTCTTGAATTCATGACTTGGTCCGTGGATGTTTCTCTTCTTGTTCAATGATGAATAGACGAGTGAAGACCTGGAGGAAGTCCAGGGAATAAGATTTTTTCTTTAAATCGTAAAGACAACATTTCTTCGTATAAAAAATAGTCTTTCCTTGCATTTATGATATATATATATATATTTTTTTTGAAAATTTTAGATTACATGATAGGAAAAAAATTTGATTGGCTTATTCTTCTACCAGGACTTGCTCTGAATGCAATTATCGTGGAAAAAAGTTAAAGACATAAATTCAACTCACATATATATATATATATGACCATTCTTTAATTAATTTAAAAGATCAACTTAAAAGAGAATTCCCTATAATTAAAAGAAATAGAAATATGAATAGTGTTATTTATCCCCTAAAGAAATGGACAACAGATTTTATGTTTTGCTCTCTTGACTTGGTATTTAACTCACATGGTGGATTTAAACCTAAAATCTCATGAATTTGAACACGCCACCTCGTACGTAAATGCATGACTTAAGATTTAAATTCTGAGTTAACGCATGTAATACACGTGCAAACCATCTTCTTATCCAAAAAAAAAAAAAAAAAAGACAGAGACGGCGAAGAAATGTGCAAGAAAATCTTCAAAATTTAAACGTCCGTTTGCAACCGGTAAAGGATGACATTATTATTATTATTATTTTAGGATAAAGCTGACGTGCATCTGAAAGATACCATTTAAGGCGCATTGAAAGAGTTTTTTAATCATTTATTATTTGAGAAAATAAGACACTCTATTTAAAACTTTTTACTTAAGATTAGATCTACCAACATGACCTTTCTGTTTCTAAAACTCCATTAATTCGTACTTCTAATTACTCGTTTTTGACATTTTAGGGTTAACATATCTCCCCATTGTCTTTTTGCTGAACGATTCTTGATATTAAAAAAAAAAAAAAGTAATGCACCTTGCATGAAAACTAATTAGATCAATTAAGATGTTTAATTTATTGTAGAGAAAAAAAAAGAAAAAAACACAACGCTGAATTTTGTTGATTTCAAAATAATAATTCCAGGTAAATATATGCTTCCTCCATATAATAGTTTTAAAAAATATATATCAAATTTTTTTCAATAATTTTTTTTTTAAAGTAAATCACATAGGTATTAAAAATGATATATTTATATTATACTATTAAGTTTCTAGATCACGTGTATATCTATACACAAGGGATTCAAATAATTGTTTCAATAAAAAAAAATGCAATTAATTAAACTTGATCAAAATGGAATTGAAAAAAATATTTCAAAATAACAATTTATTAACATGAAAAATATATGTGATCTAAATATTAAAATGACAAATAATGTACAAAAAATAAAATAAAATAACTTTACCAAACTAATAGAGTTGATATGTTATTGAGATTAAAATATATTATTTTATATGAGTTTGTAAGGAAAAGGAAAGAGTAGTGGACATGAATAATATTTCTATTAGTAAGAAAATCTGATGGTTTTTTTTTTAAAAAAGTCTTATGCTCGAACAAATTTTGATTCCAGGTCAAAACGTAAGACTGTCATTAAAAAAAAAAAAACAGTACAATTTTAGTGCACCATGCAGTCTAATTTTAAAGGGTTTTAATGGAGATATTTTAATGCTTTTTAACAATTATTTTTACAAAAACGTTTTTTTTTTTTTTTTTTTTTAAGCAGCCCACGAGGTGATTTGCAGGAAATGTTATCCACAGTTTAAAAAGGATGACATTATCCAAATCATGAACAAGAGGGAAAGGATGACATCATCCAATTTTTCAGTTAAAGAAAAAAAAAAAAAACGAAACGATTTGTTCCTAAATTTACGAGCCCATGAGGGAATTTGCCCGGAATGTTATCCACAATTTGTTGGAATGTTGTGTCTTTCTCTGTTACCACAGCAAAAAAGCACACGTGGCAACAATCCAAATCGCCAATATTCCGATGCCCTTGGATGGCATGGTTTTTGCATTTTGGTCCTAGCACTTCATTTGTTTCTACTTCTTACCTATTTTATGCTCCAGAGGAAAGAGGAAAGCCACCGGCACTGCAAACTATTACAGGATTGAAAATATATGAATACAAATGCTAATTCATTTGATTGAGTGAAGTATTCGCCTCTTCTATCTCTTAACTTTTAGCAGAATCATTTATAAAAAAAATATATCAACTCGGTTTGAAGAGTAAATACGCTAAAATAGAAAACAATTATCATTGTAATAACAGTATTATAATTGCATAAACATATATATATATTTTATGCATTTGTTTAAGTAAACGCGACATAAGCCGATATAGTTATCTTGATACATTATTATTAAATCGAAGTTTTATGAAACAAGATGAATTATAAAGTCAAAATTGTTATAATAATTATAAAATCGGAGACACCGTCAATGCAATTGTTTATATAAATTTGCAAATAATACGGCGTGGAGGATAAACTGCATCGAATGGGCATATACTATCAACTCAATCTAAAAACATACATTTAACTAACAATTGAATAGCATTTTTTAGTGTTACGAAGCTGCTATCTTGCAGCCAAGTTATTAAAAACAAGTGAAGATTCGTGAGCAATGACAACGAAATGGCTACAAAATAACTATAAAAAATGCATATTTTTCAATTCTAATATCATTTATCTACTTGTTCTCACTGTCCCTTGACTTCATCACTCGTTTTGTAGTTTGACTACCCAAAACAAATGCCATTTAAACATGAGATGCATCCTTTTCATACTTTGATTTTTTCTCCTCATAACTTTCAATGTAAATCAATTCAAACACATGGAGATAGATGGGAATACAAATTTTAATAATCCTCTGTTTCTTATGGCAATTCTATAGAATAGAAGTTGAAAATTAATAATCAAGCTATGGTACATTGTATTAGCATTAAATATTAGAGTAATAAATTAATGTTATATGGCCTGCCAACCCTGACTCTTTTGATATAAACAAGGACCCTTTCTTGGTAACCCCTCCTCCTCGAGAGGATAGACCTTACAACACGAATTAATTTTTTTTTTTTTATATAAATATATTTATAAATAGTAAAATATTATTAGATTAATTTTTACATCTATGGAACCTAAGATAACTGGGTTTTTTTTTTTTTTTTAGGTTAAACCAACGTCAAAATAAAATTACTTTTTAATTGATCATTAAATTATTTTTTAAACAAAATTAAACCAATGTAGATCCAATATCAGTAAAAAAATAATTATATTTATTATTCATGGATAATAAAAATTAAATATTTTTTAATCAAATTAAAATAACTTCGTTTACGTTAAACCACTCACATGACTTCAAATTAAAGTATAAGAATGAAGGTAGGGAATTAAGAATAGTATTATTAATTGCACTACTTAAGTGGGGGTAACAAATAAACAAAACTGAAATTTTGAGTTCATATCTATAAAACCCAAAAAATGTGGGAATGGAAATAAAATTATGATCAATCTGAAGCAGAATATTCCCAAAATAAACCCAAAATAAGATGGAAAAATGAAAAATGTACGTCAGGATAAGCACAAAACTCTGTTCTTTCTCTCTCCCTTTCTCTTCATTTCCTCCAGTCCACGAGAAAAGTCCATCAGATACACGTCACCTTACAGGCCCTTTGGATAAGGACCCCACTGTCAATCACACCTAACAATAAAAATAATACTAATAATTTTTTTCCCTCTATAAATTTTCACCCTCTCCCTATTTAAATAATCCCTCTGCATCTTCATTTTATATCTATCTATTGAAAGTTCTAACAGCCTTTTCAAGATCATACAATTATCCTAAACTAAAGCAACATTCAACCTCTGCCCATTGTTTTTTGTTTTCTTTTCTCCTTGTTCTTTGCTTGAAAAGGGGGTTCTTGGATTGTCTCTGTGGGTGTTTCCTGATTTTGAGAAAATGGCAAGTGCAGCAGCTGTTGGGATGATGGGAGGAAATGGGTGTGCTGGGTCTTCAACTTCTTGGTTTCAAATCAAGAATAGGAGAAAGAAGAATAATGATAAGATGGGGAGAGATAGAGTCAGGTTTGTTTGTGCTGCTTCTTATTCTTCTTCCGTCATGGATCCTTATAAGACTCTTAGGATCCAACCTGGTGCTTCTGAATCGGAGGTCAAGAAAGCTTTTAGACAGCTTGCTTTGCAGGTATAATATATATTTTTTCTCTATTATTTTTGTTTAAATTTCATTTTTTTTCCCGAATTTTTTGAATTCAATTCATATTTTAGATTTTGGTTTTTTTTTTTTTAATGGGTTTTTGGTGTGTTTTTTTTTTTGGGGGATTTAGCTTATTGATTATTTGTTGTTCTGTTTCAGTATCATCCAGATGTATGCAGAGGAAACAATTGTGGTGTACAGTTCAGTCTGATCAATGAAGCCTATGATGTATGTAGTCATCTCCCTACCATTTTTATTTTTTTTAATTATTTTGTATGTTTTTTCTTTTTCTGTTTTCTGGTGGGGTTCGGGTTTGGTAAAGGTTGAGTATTATTTTCGTAACATAGAAAATAAAGATAGGAGTTGGAAGTATTCAAACCATAATGAGTGCTAGTCCTAAATAATTTAGGATAGGACCCATCTATTGAAGTTTTCAGAAGATTTATAGGATACCTTGAAAATTAGTATAAAAATTAAAGACACGAATGGTATCAATACCATGTACACAAAAGAAGGCAGAATCCAAAGAATTCAACCAAAATAAATAGTAAAAAACTAAAAATAAGTGAAGATTGGAGTACCCCATATCTGTCGAGTATATGGTTCTAATTAAATTAAATTTATTCAATTTTGGGTTTCAGTAGTAAGATGAAGTTATAATGGTTTTGCAATGGAATATAAAAGTTCCTCTTATCTTGTCCGAAAGGCAATTATTTTTGCTGTGGCTAAATCAAAAGAGTGATGGTTTTTCCCATTATCAGATCCTTTGTATCAAGATAAAAAAGCCAATCGTCTTGACAGGACACAAGAGTCAAGACCCTTATCGTAGAGAGTTATGAGCAAATTCGAAGGCTCTAAATTCTTGGACGACTATTTTGGCCCTATTGGTTGATGGATGGGCCATTGGTGTCTCTTCATATCTAGGACCTGTCTCCCAGAGCCATCACTATCGGATGCCTATTTTACGTGTAGCTTTTCTATGTTTCTGACCTTTTCTAAAGGGGCAATTTTTGGTCTAAATAGTATGCTTTCTTTTCTTTCTGTGTATGCAATGCAGATTGTGATGAGTAATTTGAGGGAAGAACCAGATGAATCATCTCATATGTACATGTCTTATGAGCCATCGGATCAAGGAATTGATGAGCCTATGAGAGGAATGGATGACCCAGATTGGGATATGTGGGAAGAATGGATGGGATGGGAAGGAGCTGGAATTCGTGACTACTCATCTCATGTTAATCCTTACATTTAAAAAAGAGAAAAATTGTAAATAATAATCAATTTAATGTGTCAATTAAGACTTTAAGAACCCCCATCTCTCAGCCAAAATTATAAGGTTGCTTCTGGTGTACATAATTAGATGAGATGTGGGGATTTTTAAAGTCACTTGTTTTTCCATCTAAAGCTGCTGAGCATATCCATTACATATGCTAAAGAAAGCAGCAACCGAATAATTTATCTCCATTATCGCTAATTGTCTTTTCTGCCTTGTCTTTTTTTTTTTTTTTTTTTCTTTTGTTGCGAAACAAATATTCTTCCGATACTGTATTTTTGCATTAAAAGAGTTTATCGAATAATTTACGTGCAAAGCTGAGTTAGTCCTATAAAGAACAGAAGCAACATATATGGTCTGCTTTGTTTTTGTCCGAAGAGAGTCCGTGTTTTGGTTTTTGCTAATTCAACCAAATTTCATCTTGAGTGGTAACGTTGGTAAGCAAACTGCAGATGGATTTGTTCAGGGAAAAAAAAACCAAAAAAAAAACTGCTGATGGTTTGGTTCGATTTGGCTTCCATGTTTCCTTCTCTCGAGAAGTAAAATTTAAAAGCTTTGTTATTGCAGAACTCGAACGAATACAGAGATTCAAAACTTGTTCGGAGTAGAGGGTTGGGCCTAGCAAAGGCACGCCTTTGGGATTTAAGAACTGGACTCTCTCTGTTCTCTATGGACCCTGCTTGAAGATTCAAAACCTGTCTTTGGAGTAATTTCGTGATGTAAATTTTAGTCACTATTAGATTTCCAAATTAGAGCTACTAAAGAGATTCCTACACGTTGCTATGGAAATATTCATTTCATAGAATCCTAAACTAATATCGAAAATAGATACACAAATATAGAAATTATACAAGTTATTTTGTACAATGAACTATATATCTTAAATTTTAATAGAAATAAGTTTGTTTTTTTTTTTTTGAGTTTTTCTCTTTTAATTGTAAACTATTAACTAAAAGTGGATATAAAATATATGAATATACGAGTTATTTCGTATATAGTTATGAATTGTGTATCTTAAAACATCTCAAAATAAGTTCTTAAATATTAAAACTCATCCTAGCATTATTTGCATGAGTAAAAGTGAAGCGAGACTCCAACCTGAATTATCATTTGCGACAATAATATATAATTTCACCACTTTTTAGATTTGATTGTTTATTTATCATTATATGTTATTTTTTATGTACTAAAAAGATCGTCTTTTTTTATTTTTACATTATTAATAATTATACCATATTAATATTTTTTTTAGAATTACTAATCATATAACCAATCTTAAATAATAAAGGGTACCATTTAAATTTTTGATCAAATAAATATTTTGAAAGTATATAAATAAAAAGTCAAAGTCTTTTTAGAAAATAACAAATATTTGTTTTCATCGTACGTAGTTTGTCTAAATTATCATACTTTAATTTTTCTATTAGATTTTTATCATCCATTGCATTCAATTTTATTTTAAAATTAATAAAATTTCATTACTGTTCAAAAAAAAAACATTTAGAGATTGAAACCTAATAATAAATGAACAATAGAGATGAAAATTTAAACAATTATAAAATAATACGAAAAATGTTTGAAAAACTCTGAGTAGGAGGCAAAATTTCTTAAAATCTGATATAAACATAAAAATTGAAAATTTGAACCTCTTCTAGGTAATTAATGAAAAGAAAAGAAAAGAATTAATATGAAAATACAGTAATAATTATGTGGTAGGTATTTCATTTATAAAGGTGAATAACCATATATTGTGCACGAGTCAATACGGATACCCCGCCAGCTCACCTACCCATGCTTATAGCAGGAGAATGCTTTAAGCTTTTGAGCTAAGAACAAAACCAAACCTGTATTTTCCTTCTTCCAATTCCAATTATTTTAATCTTATTATGCTTTTAAACTATCAATTCTCTATTTAATTACGGGATTCTTCATTAAGATTCTCTGCTTGATTGCCTTCTCTGTCAAGCCTTTGCCCTAAAGACAGCCCACTTCTTTCTCTCTCCGCTTCACACTTCCTAATCGCCAACCCGTCAAAAAACTGTCAGGTAGTAAACTTATCTGATCTTAAGAATCTATGGTTTGCTTCTTATTTTTTCCATTTCATTTAATCTTCTTGTGGTGTCTGTTTGGTTAATGAATTATCTATCTAAATCATCAGAGAAATCAAGGGCTGTGATTAAATTTCCTGTTTGATTTCTCCATTGGAGGTAACCTTTAATTTGCATATATAGGTGCAGCTGCGTAGTTTGCGTTGAAATCCTGTTTTTGGTTTCTGGGGTTCTCTTAAAGCTGCTTCTTTGTGGTTATGTGTGTGTGTGTTTTTTATGTTAATCTGTTAGTTTACATTGTGAATCTAGGTAATATTTAGGGTTTGTTGGAGGAGGTTTTGTGTATCGTTAACAGAAATGCTACTTCAGTTAAGCAATGGAGATTTATGCAAAACTAGGCTCATCGCGGTGTATGTAAAGGAAAGACTGATTTTTGGAACATGGTATTTCTTCAGTTCACAAGTTCTAATAGAATTCTGTATGAGACGGTTTGTGTGCTGCTGAAACTGTTATTCAAGTCTATTAAAATGGTTTGGCATTCTGCCTTTGCATTTGGCGCAATTATTTTTTGTAGCTCAATGTGCTTTGCTAGCATTGTTGTGCTGATACCTAGTATGCAGTAGCATTCGATGTATGGACATTCTTTTCTTTCTTTGGTTTTAATTTGCATTAATTTAATTCTCATGTTATTAGAAAAATTTTGCCACCCTTAATGGAATGACTTCAAATAGAAGAGCCATTGTAGGCGAGAAAAAGTGTCATTAGGATTGTCTTTTATTGTTGCATCTTGGAAAAAGGAAGGAGAGTGAGGAGTATACTCACGCATTAATTTGCCTAATGTGTACCAGCATTTAGGGCGTGTCATTAATGGCGGACCTTAAAGAACGCCTTCTCCCTCCAAAACCAGCATCAGCTATAAATCTTAGAGATTCATCTTATAGACCATCCGCCTCTGGACGACAACCTTTCCAAAGTGTTGATGTTCTGGGTTTGAAAAAGCGTGGCCAAGGAGTTCGATCATGGATTCGTGTTGATTCATCTGGAAATTCCCAAATCATCGAGGTTGACAAGTTCACTATGATGCGACGTTGTGATCTACCTGCTCGTGATTTACGCCTGCTTGATCCTCTTTTTGTTTACCCCTCAACAATCCTTGGTAGAGAGAAGGCTATAGTTGTAAACTTAGAGCAGATTCGGTGTATTATTACAGCTGGTGAGGTTCTACTTCTAAATTCCCTTGACAGCTACGTATTGCATTATGTAGTGGAGCTACAAAGGCGATTGACGACACCAGGGGTAGGTGAGGTATGGCAGTCCGAAGGTGCTGAATTAAATCGAAGGAGAAGTAGGAATTTTGACAGTGTATTTGGGAATACATCCCCTGACTATTTGCCCTTTGAGTTTAGGGCTCTTGAAGTTGCTCTGGAAGCTGCCTGTACATTCCTTGATTCTCAGGTGTGTAAAAAGAACTTTAGATCTGTAACATGCTTGATTTGAATGAATGGTGTTATTCAAGCGAAATTAAGAATGCTTTGTTGCAGAAGTACTATGGAAGCTGTGTATTCCTGCTCTTATTTTATTTCTTGGTGCCACTGAACGAAAAAACTATATTTTTAATGAATTAGCTGGTGTAGCATGCAAAATCATAATAGTTGATAAATACTATTGACTGTCTTGATTCTCCATGTATCTGTTTTTATGTCCTTCTTGACACTTGGATGATGTTCTAGATCAATTGAAGCAGTTCAAGAGAGGTCTGATGTATGTGGATATATCAATCTTGTGATAGCTGCACATCTTGGAACAGAAAGACATGTCTTTATTTTCTAATGTACTGGCACTAATTTCCTAGTTGACATCTTTTTCTGCAACAGACTCGTGGATCATTTTATATGTGGATGTGTGTTTACGTATGTTTTGCATGCAATTTAGCTTGTTATTCAGCGAAACTTTATTCATTTTTCCATGTTCCTTGTTATTGACTACCATTTGAGAAAATCTTCTATAAAATTTCTATCTAATTGTTTTCCTCTTAATTTGTTCTCTTCTCTTGTTAAATATGAGATTGCCAGCATGTATTTTACACATATGCAAACCCACTGCCTTTGTCCATGTTGAGTTTATCACATGGTTATTGCTACTATTTGCTACAGCGGTCACTTAACCAAAGGCATTGGCATTATTTACCTGATTGACAATCAAAATTGACCGGGTAAATGAATACCCATTTATGCTTTAAATCACAGTGATTTCATATATATATATATATATATGTATATGTTTATTTATATTTGGATTGAGTGCTTATTTCCAAACTGTTGCAAGATATTAGGGTTAAGTCCATTGCCGTGTTATTAGCTTTCGCCTTGATAAATAACTTTCGCCTTGATAATATTTCAAAGCAAACAATTATTTTATAGGCAGAAGAAAAGCTCTGAACTTTCAAGAACTCTTTCTCAACTCAACAAAGGTTAAAAACTCTTAATAAAAAACCAAGATTTCATCAGTCTGAATATAACTTAAATTGTGTTCAGGAAGTCATCAAATTTGAGCTGACAGTCTTCTTCTAGGCTTCTTTAGTTTTTTTTACACGCTTGTTCTAGTGATGGAATCAACTCATCGCCAGAAAGGTTCAGTGTTAAGTACTTGGGGTTTGTAACGTCAAATCAACTTAAGCAAAAGTAAATCATTCTAGAACAGCGGAACTCAGATTGCATGGTCTTGTGCAATTTGCATGTATCACAATATGTATGTCTTGCTGGTTTTTATGTTTTTGATGGTTAGACCTGTTTTCTTACTTAACTAAAAATGCAACTCAGATTGTCTTTGTGAAGAGGCAGATGAGCTGATTATATATTAGAAAAGGGTATTATGTTTCATAATGGCCTAGAGAAGTAATTAGGGATGGCTATATCAGTCTTGTCTCCCATTTATGTCTATTTGGAGCTATTCTTTCTTTGTTTTTCTTTTTCTTTTTCTTTCTTTCTTTCTTATATAATTATTTATTTCATAAACAGAAATCTGTCATCTTAGTTTCTGTTGCGCTGCTAATACCTTTTGCTATATTAAGGTATCACATGGTCTGTCCTGTCACAGTTTCTATGGTAAAAGTCCACATTTGAAGAAGTTAGTAATCTTATTTAAATTGTAATGTTCTGAAGGCAGCGGAATTAGAAATTGAAGCATACCCATTACTAGATGAACTGACATCTAAGATCAGTACATTAAACTTGGAGCGTGTACGAAGATTAAAAAGCAGACTTGTTGCCTTGACTCGGAGGGTTCAGAAGGTATATCAAATTTACTTGCCTTTTCATTTATTGCAAATAAAACTGGTTGATATCTTTTCCCCTATTCTTATTCTCTCTGAATTTACCTGTATCTAGGTAAGGGATGAGATTGAGCAGCTCATGGATGATGATGGAGATATGGCTGAAATGTATCTCACTGAAAAGAAAAGTCGGATGGAATCATCATTCTACGGTGATCAATCTTTGATGGGATTTAGATCAAATGATGGTGGGACATCTATTTCTGCTCCAGTTTCTCCTGTTTCATCACCCCCTGATCCACGAAAACTTGAGAAAAGCCTGAGCATTGCAAGGAGCCGACATGAGAGTATGAGGAGTACTGAAAGTGCTACTGAGAATATAGAAGAGCTGGAGATGTTGCTAGAAGCGTACTTTGTTGTCATTGATAGCACCCTGAACAAGTTGACATCGGTACTAGCAGCAGCCATTATACTTATTTCCATTCTTCATCTTTCCTTGTATAGGCTGTTAACATCTTTATTTCTCATTCACTTCTTTCAGTTGAAGGAGTACATTGATGACACAGAGGATTTCATCAACATTCAGCTGGTACATATTCCTCTCCCTCCGTCCTTTAACCTAGGTCTCCTTGACATTAAATCTTGTTGCTTTTTAGCTCTGTTGTTAGAGACCCCCATTTCAAAACTTTGGTAATTAGAAATTTTCAAGCAAGATCATATTCAAAGTATTAAGTGATAAGCAAAGCTGGCAACTTCTTGATAATTATGCACAGAAAGAAATAAGTCGCCCAATTCTTGCAGAAGTTCTGGATCCTTGCTGGCTGTTGTTTCTTATTCTTATTGGATAACAGTGCAGGTTCACGTTATCCATGATACTGACTTATGAAGTTGAATTACATGATTGATCCTTTTGATGACCAATAGGATACGAAGATAGCACATTATTTTCTTTGGGAATTAGTCATTTAATTTTGTCAGTTGATTCAGTGGAAACTAGTTTTAAGACGAGGGAAATTTTTGGTTGCAGGATAATGTCCGAAATCAACTGATCCAATTTGAGCTTCTACTCACAACAGCAACATTTGTTGTTGCCATTTTTGGAGTTGTGGCAGGTATCTTCGGCATGAATTTTGCCATACCATTGTTTGATGATGAGGGTGCATTTAAATGGGTCCTCATAATTACTGGCGTAACAGGAGTCATAATATTTTCTGCGTTCGTATGGTTCTTCAAGTACAGAAGACTTATGCCTCTATAGACTGTTAGGAAAATGCAATTAGAAGTGAGGAAATATATGTACTTCCATCATTGCTACTATTGTTCGTTACTTTTATGCTTAATAGATGACATGGAGAACAGAAAATTGAAAGTTGGTTCTCCTTTATTTGCTTCAGTTATCATTTGCACGTTTACTCATGGCAAAATGAAATCAACACAAGTGAAGAAGCTATAGAGATTGCAAATATTGGACCCGCATTTTCAGTTATTTTTTAGTGGTTGACGGTAACAATCTTCGTACTGTATTTCATGTCTTATTGGTAACACTGCGGGAAAAATGCCAATAATTTTTTAGCGACGGTTACTAAAACCATGGCTAAAAAGCATATAATCAGTGATGGTTTTTACTATTTTAGAAAGGGTTTAGTCACCGTTTTAAAAACAGTTGCTAATTCAGTCTAATATGACTGTTAGTAGTGACGGTTTAAGTAAAACAATCGCTAAACAATGTAATTAATTTGGAATTAGCAAGCGTTTTTTTAAATCGTCGCTAATTCTGTAAAAAAAATTGATTTTACCAACGTTTTTTCAAAACTGTCACTTTTTTGCTAAATTTAATGATTTCACAAATCGGGTCTGGAAAGGAAATTAATCACGGTTTTTTTTTATTTTTATGAAAACCATTGCTAAAAAACCAATTTAGCAACGGTTTATGAAAAACATGGCTAATTTATGATCGTTGGAGGGAAACGGTGATTTTTTGAATTTTTTCAGATTATTAACGATGGTTTCAAACCGTCGCTAAAAAATTAAATCCTTAAAAGTTACTGTCCCGTTTTTTCCCTCCAAATCCTTCTTTCTTTCTCTTCTTCTCCTTCTTTCGGCAGCTTTCCTCCACCATTTTCTTCCCAATTTCTCCTCCAATCGTGGTTGCAACTCCCTCTAAATCTCCTCCTTTCTCTTCTTTTCTTCTTCCCCTACATCTATTCTCCTTTCCTCCTCCATTTTTTTCTTTTTCTCTCCTTTCCTCTTCCTTCCTTCACTTTTTTGTTAATTGTTGTTGCTGTTAATTATTTATTAGTTAATTTTTAGTTAATTTAATTTATTTTGTTTTTATAAATATTTTTTATTTGTTAATTAATGTAATTTTTCATTAAAATAATAATTGAAGTGTTAGTCTAATAAATTACGTGATAAATAATTTTGATTTAGTTGTTAATTAAATTAATTTATTTGTTGGAATTTAAAAAAATTAATTGTTAATTGTTGTTGTTTAATTATTTATTGCTTAATTGATAGTTAGTTTAATTTATTTTATTATTATAAGTATTTTTAATTTGTTAATTAATTTAATTTTGGGTTAAAATGATAATTTAAGTGTTAGTTTAATAAATTATATTTAGTTGTTAATTAAATTAAGTATAATTGTTTGTATTTAAATAATTTAATTGTTTTTTAAAAATTTAAAAGGTGTTAGTTTAATTAATTAATATTAAAATAAGTGATTTACATGTTAATAACATTAATTAAATTTATGGTAAAATAAATTATTTAATTATTGTATGAAATTAATTTTTTGTTAGTTTAAGTATATATATAGGTGTTAATTAAATTTTCAATTTGTTAAATTAAGTAAATTAATTAGTTGTTAATTAAGAAAATTAGTTACAATTATATTATTTAAATATTGTATAAAATATATAATTAGATCTTATTTTAATTTATTTGTTTGTTAATTAAGTTTTTTGGTTGTTAATTAAGTCAATTACTTTATAATTATATTATTTAAATTGTGTTTAAAAGAATCGATTAAGTAGTTAAATAAGAAAAATAAAAGTTTATAAATAAATTAATAAAATTTAATTTAAAATATAAAATTACGTGTTAGTTTCATTATTCATTTGGTTGTAAATTTTTTTTTTAATTGTTAAATTAAATCCATTAGTTGATTATTAAATTATTAAATTATTTTTTAAAAGAATTAATTATTTAGGTAATTAAATAAATTAGTTTATAATTAAATTATTAAAAGTATAAAATTACGTGCTAGTTTAATTAATTTGGTTGTTAACTTAGTTTTTAAATTGTTAAATTAAGTCAATTAGTTTGTAATTAAAATATTAAATTATTGATTAAAAGAATTAATTAGGTAGTTTATTAAAATATTAATTAAGTTATTAAATAAGTTTTTTATTTTTTAATTGAAGTAAATTAGATGTTTATTAAATTAATTACATTTAGTTTAAAATGAATTTGGATCGTTCATGAATTGACTATAGATTAACCTAGGTGAACTTTTAAATTAGCGTTTCGTAGATGAGATTAATGATGTATGGACGAAATAAGATAATATGTCCTTGTAAACTTCAAAAGTGTTAGAACCGTAGTTGTTAAAATCTTGATACGATCAAGTACCATTTGATAAGATATGATTTTGTGTCGGGATATTACTTTTCTCTAACCCTATGGTTACGGAGGATGTATGCGTTGACCTCCATAAATGGTGACACGACATAGCATGCCGAACATGAAGTTAAATCGGACGTCATGCGTCATTGTTCGACTTCTCCGCATGATGGCATTTCGACTAAACACACCTTTCATTGTCAATATCAATGCTTTATGTTAATATCAACATTTTAACTAATTAATATGATAATATGTAAGTTATTATGCATTATAGTAGGGGACGTTTTCGCATGCGGTGCCCATTTCATATGGTGAGGGTCGTGGTTCGGACACCGATGATGGCGATGATCGTGGACATGGGCATAATCCCGTGTCCGTTCCTAGTTAGATGCCCCCTCCTATCGACATACCCGCATACCACCCGTCCGTCGCCACCATGTCAAACCCATCAACGTTTGATATGTCTTAGCTTGAGGCGCATTATTTTGGACCTCCATGTCTCTGCCCATCCGACATTTCGTCGTCATCGGGGCCCTCGCCCCAACAAGATGACCATCATATTCCCGAACATGGCTCATTGCCAAACGTCCCTCTTAGTTTAGCTTCGAACTTATCGGTTCTATGTTCGATCCTCGGATTTCGATTACTATCGTTGATGATAAAGAGTACGTATTATACATATTCTTATAAAATATTTTTTGTATTTTATTATGATCTTACGTTCTTTTAATTTTTAATTAATATCTTGTTTGATAGCTTGTATCTTTTTGATATTTGTGCTCGTTGTATCTATAAAATATTCCATGACTATGTTGACATATTCGATCGATATGAAAGTCAATTAGTCCGAAAACTAAATACTTTTACTAGAAAGAGTTTAAGGTAGTTTTTAGTTTAATTAATTTATTACATGATTGTATATTTCAATTAAAAAATATTAATGTTCAATTATTTCATACGTGTGTCATTTTTATATAGCTTATTGACCTAGCTATTTAATATTAAAATTTATGCAATTATGAAGGAGACCATCGAAAAAATAAGAAGGCTACTCCATCGTCCGATATCAATATGAACGAGATTTATAAGGAGGTCTGTTGGAGGAGGAGATAGTAAGAGAAAAAGGATGTACGGACTCGAGTCACATGCCTCTCACTATTACTCTAATGTCAATACGTCCTCTAGTTCGGTCACTTCGCGGTTCCATGTCAATAGAGGTGCAACGAAAGGAAATGGAGGCTCGGCATTCTAGACAAAAAGAAAAGATCGAAAAACTAGAAGGTACTCGTTACATCGCTCTTAGCTATTACGAATGAGTTGCAATAGTATACTCGAGAGTAACATTCGATGATGTAGCGAGATGTTGTTGAATATGCGAGAGAGATAGTTCATCAACCAATCCTTCGATTGATGCCCTACCGATTGCTTCTAGCTAGCTTTTATGTTTTCTTTCTTTGAAAAAATTAACAAACTTTAAAATAATATAATAATTTGATGTTTTAATATATATTTCCTTTTATTGAATTTTATATATTATAATGGTTTTGTCATATTTAAAAATCTTATTTATAACATTTTCTTAGTTGTTAATTGGAAATAGCTTTAATTTTTCTTTTAAGCCACGAAATAAAAAATTTCAAAAAAAAAAAAATTTCAAATGGATTTAGTGACGGCTTATAACCATCGCTAATTAACAATTTAGCGACGGTCCTAAAAAACCGTCACTAATTCTAAATAATTTGCAACGGTTTTAGTGATGGTTTTTTCAAAATGAACACTAAATTTCAAAATTTAATGACAGTTTTGTTGACGATTTAAAAAAAAATTGCTGATTTGTCAAAATTTAATGATGGTTTTTTTACAATTTTAGCTATAGTTTTTTCGTCCCTAAATTGGTAGCGATTTCAAAAAAGGCCGTCACTAACTTTTCAAGACAGTTTCTATCCATCGCTAGATCGTCGTTAATTCATTTTAGCGATGGTTTTTCAATAATTAGCACGGTTTAAACCGACGCTAATTTATTTTATTTATTATTATTATTTTTTTTGTAGTGTAATATTTTTCCACGAAACATATTGCTAGCGTTCTATATCATGTCCCTTTAGATTCAAAGGTGCCGAAGACGCGACAACTTAGCCTGAATAATTCATCTGAAGTTCATGCTGCTCCTAAACTGTATCCAACGCCCAAATGCATTTCACATTGAAAAAGAGAGGACATTTACCAGATTGACAAACACCGTACAACCCCTTTCCTTCTCTAATAATTATGTTTTTATCTGTTTAAACCAGACCAGTGCGCAAGACCAGTTGATGGTTAACGAAAAATCAGTTAGCACCACTCCTGTATTCTATTATAGCAAACTGCCAGTATCTTTCTGAGCAGCATCCACGATTATTGTATCTTTCATTCACCCCCTCCCGCCAGCACAGAGCAAGTGAAATGAAAAAGAACATTGAGAGAACTGTTAAGATTACCCCACGGCATCAGTTGTTGTACCATAGAATTAACAAAACAAAATCGAGATTGATAGGAGTTACCATATCTATAGATGCATGAATATCATTTTAAAGTTCAGAGAGAAGACAATAATCGCATAAGATCATCATGTAAAGTGACTATCTAAAAGGTACAATCTCCACTTATTTCCATCCAGCCAATTGATATGTTATAGGGATAACAAAACAAGATTCCAAGTAGGACTTCTATTTGGATTTGCCAACTCAACACAAAATTTAAGTTTTCATCTCATAAACATTTTGCACATCGCATCTTATAACACAAAATACAGATCCATTCCTTGACCTGAAGATTAGCCATGGCCAAAGAAAGCGGTTGAAAAATGAACCACCAGAACCCCTTGTACTTTTGCACTGTCAAGATGATAACTTGAAACGAACACCTTAAAGGAAGTGATCACAAAATCATGTAGCAGTAGAACCTGAAGAAAGTCTGTCACGCCTTGCTTTATCAGCCTTTTCCATGTAATCTTGATGGGACGAGTGCTTTGATCCTATGGGAGAAAAGATTGTCATAGTTAACAGCAGCTGCAGATATTTTTGCGGGTAAAACGACAAGGAAAACTATTGTGCAAATATAACACCCATTTCTCAAATGGTTAAATCCTCAATGGACTAACAATATGCAATCAGGCAGTTTCATTTCAAACAGAAAAGCACTACCAGAATAAGAGTCTCAACTTTTTCTTTATGAAGAAGTCAAGTTATAAATTCACATGATGAGCGCAGCACAATCCTCAGCAGTCGGCACCACTACAAATCTCACTGCATTACATGAAAATCATGAAGCAACAGTTACTACAGATTCAATTTATATCTTCCACCAATACCTAATCAGCATGCGTTCTATACAGAGACTGCCAATTGCTGCTTTCATGGAGGATCCTTGGCATAGAGGTACTAACTGCAGGCATGTGCATCAATTTTACAATAGGAAACTGGAATGATTTGGCATCAAACAGCATGCAAGTAAAGCATCTTTTTTACTACATGACATGGTATTTGCGTAGTGCAATACCATGAAGGTTCAAGCTGCACCCTTTGAGATTGGTCCCAACAATCACCTTGTTGTAAAAGATGGAATAGAAAAAGAAGAAGAAAAAGCAGTCCTGCTCGTTATACTTCACTGGTCCAGAAATCTGTTCAATCTGCAGCTCATCTAGCATGCTGTAGCATTTTTTAGTCCTTTTCTAATTAAATTATGACATATCACTCGTTGAACTCCAAGTTTCCGTCCTCTTAGATCCAGATATCACTGGTGTGTTTACTAGAACCTACAGCATGGGTTTGATTTTCTCTTGAGCTTGAAATAACTAAGAAAGAGTAACTATTAAGAAAAAAGATGGGAAGTTTGAAGGAGTGAGTAAAATGCTAACATGATTTTATATGGAGACGATCTGGTTGGTTGGGGGAAACTAGTTCAAAACAGGCTATCCAAGCCAGCACTAATGCCCACAATATGGTTGAAAGAAGATCCTGCATGGACAAGGCTCATGTCCTTAGAATAACGTGCCAAAACAGAAGGTCAAACGAAATCAATGCAGAAAGAACATCTACAAAGAATCATGTTTCTAAAACTAAGGAAGATGTTACTAATAAATCAGGACTCTCTATTGGCCTAATCAGTGAAAACAAACAAGAAAGAATAGGAAAAAAAAAGTAGATGGCAAGGACTACCTCCTAAAGTAACCGGATCAACAACTATTGCTTTCATGTATAAGACCCAGATCCATAATGCTTTAATCTATCTCACAATCTGGACCAAACAATGCAACTTGATTGAAAATACAATAACCATCCATCCTCATTCCCAAAAGGGACCAGAATGGCTGTATCAATGAGAATGACAATATAACTATTTCATCTTACCATAGAAGCCTCGCTTGTCCTCCTAACATTTGCCCCTTCTATGAGCAATTCATTCCTCATACACCATAAAACTTTAGTAAGAACGTATACTCAAGTATTCCAGCTTAAATCACCAACAGCACTTCTGATCCGACAGTTCATGTCAATTCTTTCCGTACAAACATAATTACAGCCCTCTCTATTTTTCTCTTCTTAAATCATAAATTCTAATTGGCTGCGGAAGAAACTAAAAGATAATAGAATAACAAACCCATAAATATTATCTTCGGCGCAAAGAAGAACAATTCAGGAGAGGCTTTTACATCGTCAACAAGCAGAGGAAAATAAAAGGATGCAGGAAAGTTTCAGAAATTCCTTTTGTTTCACCACATTCTCTTCGGGACCGAACAAATCAAACGCATTAGCAGCAGCACTTAAGGTAATTAAATTTTAAACACAAAGCAGTACTTGTCTCTAATTCGGCCATAATTCATCTTCGCAGCCAATTAAAAAAAAAGTGAAATTTCGGAAAATTTTCTCTATTTCCTCTCCTATCCTTTCACTTTCAGTAACCAAACGAAATTTAACACATAGCAGCATCAAATATAGCAACAGCCCAGTAAGAAAAACTGTAGAAAGATTCTAACTTCCGACTTCCACTCACTCCTTCATTTCATTTCATCATTGACCCAGCAATCCAAAACACATAAAAGTATCCCAATTGATTTAAGAGCATAGACATATGGTAGAAAAAAAAAGAAAAAAGAAAAGAGAAGTAAACGAACCTCTGTTCATAAGGAACCAAGGGACACCAAAGACAAGACTGATGATTGCCATGCCAGCCATGACATGCTTTGTGTCTCCACTATACAAGTAACGATGTACTCTTGACTTGAATCCTCCACTTTTGGCACTCCCATTGCTTGTTGCCTCGCTTCCCATTTTCTTCTTTTCCCTTTCACTCCCTAACGTTTTCTCCAACTTCCTCAGCAGATTCTCTCTCTAGGTTTCCTCTCCTGGCTGTATTGCTTAGCGTTAGGCCACTGCTTGCTAAGTTTTTTAATTTTGGGCCTAGTCATTGTCATATACAAACAAATTATTTGGGCTTGGCCCAACCCGCTATTAGGAGACGAAAACATTAACTGATTTGAGAAGCAGAAAGCTCTCTTCTTTTAGTTACGATGCAGAGACTTCCCAGTGAAATCAAGGCATAAAAAGGTATGCTTTTGCATCAGCACACTCTCTTTTGTGATCTTTGTGTTCGTTTCTTGGTTCTTGTCAAATGATTTGAACACGAGTGTTGCTTTTTCTCTTTGGTTTTCGAGAAAGCTGTGGAGATAGAAAAGGAAAGAGAAATTTTGAAAATTTCTAAATCTTCTAAATCTTGAATCTTTGTTCGTCTCTGGAAAATATGAGCTCGCCTAATAGTTTTCAGAAGCGATTCTTTAATGGGTCAAGATTATTTTTGTTTTTCTCGGTAACTAAATGGTGCATTATCATGTACTAGATGTTATTGGATTGTGAGTTTGTGATTGATAGGATAGTTGAAGGATGGCAACCACAGCTTGTTTTATAATTGTGAGCCGGAATGACATCCCCATATATGAAGCTGAAGTTGGATCTGCTACTAAAGTATGCACATCTTTTCTATTTATCTATTCATTGCATGTTTGATTGGAAAGTCCAGTTTTGCGAAATGAAACGCATATGATTGATTTTTGTTCTTTTTTTTCTGGTTTTTTAGTTGACTTCCTATTTCAAATGTGCTGTGGTATGGAACTGTGTTTTGTTCTAGTTGTGCTTCTTTAGCTCTTTGATCTTCCTAATGTTGCTGTTTTTATATAAAGTCCCATTTTATGTTTAATTCTGTATCAAATTTCCAAAACATAGAATTGAACTATTAGGCTTATTGGGCTGCATAAGAAAAAACATTCAGAAGTTCTTTTGGCACTACTTTTGCTTCGAAGTTAATGGGACCATAGGATTTGGAATAATTCTTTCATGAAATCTCTGATGTTGTTGTTTTAGATATTGGTTCTCTACTTGAACAAATTTTACTGCATTTTGCATAATTTCCTGCTTACAGTCTTATGGAAAGGTTCTAGGATCTGTTTGTATCATAATGGCCTTTATAATTTCATATAAGAGCATCTAGGAGAGAAATGAAAGGGAAAGAGAAAAGAAAAGGTTAGTGCTGCATGCATTATTAATATCATTTTTTTTATATGTGTGGGAGCACATCTTTGCTTACCTGCTTTCATGGTGAAGTCGTCAACTTTCTATTAGGTTCTGGAAACGCCATTGTTGTCATCTTTTTATTATTTTGCTATGTTCTTTGGTTGTATTTTGATGTCCTCACAAGCTACTTGTGATTAACACGCGGTCATTACTTGATGACAGAGGGAAGATGCTGCACAGATGCATCAATTCATATTGCACGCAGCTTTGGATCTTGTTCAGGATCTTGCATGGACCACCAGCGCCATGTAATTTCTAATGCTCATAATATATCTGAATCAATCAATGCATTTCTACAACGACCGCTCTCACTCTCTGATTTTTATTGCTGATAATGCATCCTAAGTATTTTGCTTATCACATCCTTTTTGCAGGTATTTGAAAGCAATTGACAGGTTCAATGATATGGTGGTATCAGTTTATGTTACAGCTGGTCATATCCTTTGTATATGTGATTTTAAATGCTATAGAGACAAGAAGACTGGAGAAAATGGAGAATGATAGGTGTTTATGTTATCTTTATTGCCTTCTATGTTGGTGTATATTTTTCCTTGACTTATCTTACATACAAGATTCATGCTACTTCACGACTCTCGCAATGATGATGGAATCAAGAGCTTTTTCCAGGAGGTTCATGAGCTTTATATAAAGGTAAACCACTTGCTTCTCCTGTTTTGAATTTTTGCACGCAACATGTTCTCTTTGATGCATACGTTATTTAACATAGGTGCTGATTTGTTCAAGTCATTATTTTGTATTAAGATTATGGATAATTCTATATGCTTAGAAATTATACTTATGAAGCTGTTTATGCCAAAGTTTCATGTTACTATGAGATAATAACAATCAACAAACAAAAGCCAGGCAGTTTACGCCTTTCAAAATCATATTGCGGTAGAAGATCCAGAAAATGCCACTGTCTAATAAATTGACATCAAACCATGTTATTCCAACTTTATGAGAGAATCTGCAGCCCCTATCTTGTTGGATTTAGATTTGAATTGACATTTTCTTCCATGCACTTTCCATTCCTGGTTGTGCTTGTCCCAATTTTTTTTTTTTTGCTACTTTTGTGCCTTATATGCTACGAAATCTGTTGAAATATGTGCACTTGTGAGTTGTGGGAAATATCCTACATTAATTAAGAACAAAGAGAATAAAGAGAGCAAGTTGCTGATACACAATGATAGACCAATAACCCAATAGCTTAGGTGCTTGGGTTGAAGGCAGTGTCTACTCGTATGTGATACGATAGTGCAGATCTCCCAACAAGTGGTAGTGGTGCTGATAGTTTGGCTAGATACGAATGAATACAACAAGTGTTTGTAGAGCCAATGGTTCGACATTGGTGGAAACAAGTATGGAGATAGTGGATAGTGTATGGCTCATGGTTTTTTCTCCCATGGTAGACTAAAGAGCTAGTTGGACTGTTGGATGAAGAATGAAGTTGATGGTTCGTGGAATATTAAGGCATGGCAAGCTTTGGAGAGGGCACCAAGAATGGATTCCTAGTTTTTTAACTCTCCAAAACTGGAATTACAATACCCTATATACTTTGCTTTCTGAAACTACAAGCACATCCCTACAATATTAGATAACAAGTAATGGGAGAGTAAGAAAAAGAGATTGTGACCTTGATTTATAGTGGTAATCTTTCATAGATGGGGGATCAATTGGGAATTTTTTTTTTCTTTTTTCTTTTTATTTGGGTAGCCAGTTGAGACTCACGTGATAGTTAGGGGTTGTCCTATTTCTTTTCATCTGGCAACCTTTGCTCTTTCTCTGCAATGACAATGATTAGTGACTGAAATGCTGAAGGTTAGCTCCTTTTTGTAATCTTTATTTTGATGAATCTAAACTGTTGGTTGTTGCAGATTCTTCTCAATCCCCTCTGCCTGCCCGGTTCCCGCATTACATCTTCACATTTTGACACCAAAGTACGTGCCCTTGCAAGAAAATACCTATAGAGGTGGTCCTTTACAGCATGGTACGCAAGCTATTGGGCATAGTTCAACCACCCTTGTTCATGCCTCGGCGTTTGAGTAGTTTTAAAGGCTTTCCTCGAGTTTTATTCATGATGATAAAGATTAGTGGTTATGCTTATTATGTGTATCAGATGCCTCATTGAATGCAGGAAACACAAGCAGCAGAAAGAAACATCGTGATTATTTTTATATTAGTGTGTTTTACTCAATCTTAATATGAGCACAGTGATCCAAGGGGGTGTGTGTGTGTTTTTTTTTTTTGATAAAATCTAATGATGTATTTGTATATTTCGATTCCTGGTTTGTCTTTAATGATAGTATAATATGGACATATACATATGTTTTTTTTTTTTTTTTTTTTCAGAACTCTTAACTGGGGTGAACGTTTTCTTGATGGCTGTCTTTTTTATGCAAGATATTTAGGCACTATCTCAATGGTTGGGAGAGGGGAAATGAAGGTGAATTTGGTAAAAGATGAAATAAAGTTATGCTTAATTCAATCGGGAAAAGTTGAAATCAAGTAGAAAAGTTGAAATAAATTATATTTGGATCTATCTTCTGACTGCAGATTGCAAATTCAACCTCAAAATCACATCTACCATATATTCTGTTGTGTACTTGTGTTGCATCACAAATCAAAATCTATGCAAATTAAATGTATTTTCTATTATATGCATATCCGGCGCTTAGCAGAATACGGTTCGGCCCAATACGGATACGGGCCATTTCAAAAAGCCTTGATGCTTCCTGGTTCCAAACAGCCATTTTACTCTTTGGTCCAGTAGTTCCTGGTACAGGCTATGTAACGTGCATGGTTTGAAATTTCCACTCTTAAGAATCTACATTTCCTTTTCATTTCCCCTGTGCTCAGCTCATGTCACTCGTAACAGTTGCAAGAAGACTACGGATATCTCATTCCCAACTCCTTTTCCCACTTCTCCATTCCATCCCCCATCAACAGTCTCCCTCTCCGCTCGGTAACTATAACTCTCTCCGCTTCTTTTTCTATGCGGCATTTCATCGAACGCTGTCAATACCCACACGATCCCCTCGCCATTTCTCCACTTCCCAATCCTTCTCCACTCAATATCTCAACGAACCATTTGAGCTCGTCCAACAAAGAATCCATACCCATGGCCCTCTTCAACTGGGCCTTCTTCAATCACTCAAAAAGGCTGCCCATTTTCCCTCAGAAACAGAGGCTATGGCTTCTCTTGATGATTCAGGCATTAAAGTAAATCAGAGTTTAGTGTATTCAGTGATCTGGGAATTAAGAGAAGAGTGGAAAATTGCGTTTTTGGCTTTGAAATGGGGAGAGAAATGGGGCTGTGTTGATGAGAAAGCTTGTGAATTGATGGTGTGGATTTTGGGTAATCATAGGAAGTTCAATATTGCTTGGATTTTGATTAGAGATTTGCACAGGTCCTTGATAAGTACTAGAAGAGCTATGCTTATTATGATTGATAGGTGAGATTGTGTTCTTCTAGTTTGATTCTTTTTAGTTTGATCTCATTTCAGTTTCAATGGATTTTGCTTATTAGCTTATATGGAAATATAAATTTGGTTAAAGTCTTATATTTTTTTCATGGAAACTGTAAAGAGAAATATTTTAGACGTGTGCAAGTTTTAAAGAGATGATGAGTCACTTAATTTATTTGTGGTGCCCTTTAGTTATTTCACTTTGTAAAAAGAATTCTTAATTTACCTTTCTTTGTGTGGTTTCTTGAGTTTTTAACTTTGGTGTTGCCTAGGTATGCAGCTGCAAATGATCCAGGAAAAGCTATTCACGCATTTCGCATTATGGATAAGTTTAGAATGACCCCTGATGAAGAAGCATTTCAGTTCCTTTTGAATGTTCTTTGTAAAAATGGAAACATTGAAGAGGCTGAAGAGTTTATGCTTGTTAATAAGAAATTCTTCCCTCTGGAAGTCGAGGGATTTAACATTATTCTCAATGGGTGGTGTAATATATGTGTTGATGTATTAGAAGCGAAGCGAATTTGGAGGAAAATGTCGGAATACTGTATTACCCCTGATGCTACTTCTTATACACACATGATTTCTTGCTTTTCAAAGGTTGGGAATCTTTTTGATTCACTGAGACTTTATGATGGGATGAAGAAAAGAGGTTGGGTCCCTGGATTGGAGGTTTATAATTCTCTGGTTTATGTATTAACTCGTGAGAATTGCTTTAAGGAAGCTCTCAAAATTCTAGACAAAATGAAAGAAACAGGGTTGCGGCCAGATTCTGCTACTTACAATTCGATGATTCGTCCTTTGTGTGAGACGAAAAAACTAGAGGATGCAAGAAGTTTAGTGGCTGCCATGATAGAGGAGAATGTCAGCCCGACAATAGAAACCTACCATGCATTTCTCGAGGGTACTTTTTTTGAAGGAACTTTTAAAGTCCTTGATCGAATGAAGTTAGCTGGTTTAGGTCCCACTGGAAATACCTTTCTGTTAGTTCTTGCCAAGTTCTTCAAACTAGAGCAACCTGAGAATGCATTAAAGATATGGGTGGAAATGAAGCAGTATGAAGTGGCTCCCAGTTTGACACATTATACGGTGGTGGTGGAAGGACTAGCAAGGTGTGGTTTGTTAACCAAGGCTCGAGAATATTACACTGAGATGAGATCAAATGGATATTCAGATGATCCAAAGCTTCAGAAAATGTTGAAAGAAACTGTTCAAGACAAGAATGACAAAAGAAAACAGCTGAGAGGGCAAGTTAAGAGAGATCAACATGTAAGTCACAAGAAAGGCAGTGTGGTCAGAGGGAGAAGTCGTCGACACTGATGAATAAGAAGAAGAAGACACCTCTTGAACAGTTTGCCTAGAAAAATACTGGGATATCGATCTCTGAAAAATTCTTTTCACCAGATATCAATCTCTCATTTTATTAGTGTCAAGCAGAGCAACTAGCGGGCATATGAAGTTTTGAAGGGACAAGTGGAAAACTTCTGATGCAAGAGGTTTTATTTCAGAGACTCTTGCAGTATGCGCTGGCTAATTCTCAACCTATTCGCAGGTGGACCTATTAATGAATAGGCCTGATCTAAGGTACTTTAGTGGTCAGTTTAACTACGATTGTTGCAAATTGTTATAGTCAGAAAATGTAGGCATTTCTCTTTGATTGTGCTTGTGGTAATTTTTCTTTAAAAATTAATTGTAAAAATCACTTTTCCCAATTTCATTACTTTACTGCCTGGTACTAGGTATTGTAGCATTCAAATATGGACCTGGCGAGACTTATCAATTTTGCCAAGTACCCATTCTGGTTTGTGATATCATTCCTGATAATTTCATATAGATTTCAGTGATAACTCTTCAATGTGAATTAGTTCTGTGAGGTGTCTATATCGTGGGAGAGTTTTGTAGTGCATACCCTTGTAAAGTGGCAATCAGCAGCCAGCAGATTGCTTCTCATCTCCACATTTAATATAATAGATGTAGGAAACGCCTTAACAAACTTGAGATAAAGGTGTTGTCCTGCTGAATGTGGTTGGAATCAAGTGGGGACAAGTGATGACGAATTTTCATCCTGGAGAAAGAATCTGACTTCACTATCTGTTGGATTATAGATCGTTGAGGATTTCAGCAAAAAGGGAAGGAGGGAGATTTTTCTTCATGGTGAAAAAAAAAAAAAAACTAGACAAATGAATTGGTCACAAAACTTCTGTGGTGATAAGTTTTAATTACTTTTATGCCAATATTTCTTTCTTCATGTTTCTTCAGTTGATTTTGTCATTCTTTGTAAAAAAAATCATGGTTTTATGCTTGATATTTATTGAAGCACTTGAATAGAAATGTTGCTGCTCTTAGTTGATCATAATTTAACTGCATATGCTGAAATTTCAATCATCTGGAAATGACCCGTAAATTTTGTGAGAAATTTATGATGTGGAGAGCTTTGTATTTATTCCTACAGGCTTGATTCAGTGACGAGTAGTAAAATACTTGTACTGTGTTTTCTAACAGTTTAAATATTTTCAATTCCTCCCGACTGAGTTGTCTATAGCTACTCCCTGCTTTAATACTTCCTTATCATGACTTGTGCTTGGACCAGGCCCAAATTCCCAAGTAGAAGAGGGCATCTCTGCATGACTGGTTTCAAACCCTGGAGGAACAAAATCTCAAGCACCTTCCCTTAATGTGAAAGGTAAACTAGCCTGCATTTCTCAAAAATAAAACCTAGAAATTATGTATTAAACTTTTCTTATGTTGGCTGTAAATATCGTATTTGTGGTCCACGGTGATGTGGTGTGTCTCCATCTTTATTAGCTGTTAGATCAGGTATAGTCAATTAGGTTCGGGCATACTCATAAACATTTTCTGGGCAACCAAAGTTCATGTATCAAGTACCTCCTTCTGTCGTTATGAGGAGTATTAGAGATGTGTTGCATTCCTAGATTATGTATATGGAACTAGTAAACATATAAAATTGGGTGTTGAGCAGGAATGTTTCTTCTCTAACTAATTAAGTTTGTCTTGACACTCTTATCCATTTTCTCTTTCCCAGGTTCACTTGCAGAGATATGGACTGAGACCATTCCATTTGAACAGGATGTTGGAAATGTTTCTTTTCACCCTTCTTTTTTTGAACATAAATCTATTTCTAGGTTAAGGAATCTATGAATCTTCCAGGGTGACTGTCCTCTTATTTAAAATTGTCCTGACGCAGTACCTATGAATTTTAAATTCAAAACGTAATAGCATTAGATGGCTCTACTTACGGTGGTTAGTCATTTTAAATGGGGTGGTGGTTGGTTGGAAAGAAAAGCAGTATGTAGATGAGTACGGGCAACAAAACACATGATAAGTTCATTGTCATCTTATATTCTATTTATTTGATTTGGCCTCTCAGCATTCCTCATGTGGTAGGTGGTCACCATCTGTTGCCCTAAGTGGAAAAAAGAGAGAAAGGACGCATATATTCACATGGACACCGAACGCATATATACATACATGATAATGATGAAGAAAGATGAGAATGAAAAGATGGCAGCTTTGAGTCTTTGACATCTACTCCTTTTGTTTTCAATTTACTTGTCCGTTGGACAATTTCTTTTGAAATGAAGGCAGGGGAGCATGTAACTAGAATGGTAGATGCATGCCTAAGAAAGCAATTGTGGTGTTTTGTGAAAAAATTGTAAGCATCAATTTTGATGCAATTATAGATTGTTTAAAACGACTTTATTTACATACTAAATTAATTTTTCCAAGAGATTATTGTCGCTCCGAAACCCAATTATTAAAAAAAAAAAAAAAAACTTATTTCGTATAAAAACAAAGAAAAATATAGGCATGGGAAACTAAAAGGATGCATAATTATTGACTCTGACGACGCAAACGGTCATGTGGTGCCCGGACCACTACTTTCTTTTTTTATTTTTATTGGGTCTTAAAAAGGAGTAGGATTGCCCTAGGCTAAGTCTAGTCAGAAAAATGTTCTCCATCATCTTCTCTCGCTGACGCTTAATTATCCAATAAAATAAAGAAACCAAGAACCAACCCCTGCCGAAAAAGTGACTGCAAAATGGTGTCCAGCTCAGCTCACCTCATCTTCTTTTGCTTCTTCATCCTCTTCTCCGCCACTGCCACCACCGCTACCGACCACATTGTTGGTGCTAACAAAGGCTGGAACCCTGGTATCAATTACACTCTCTGGGCCAACAACCAAACCTTCTATGTCGGTGACCTTATCTGTAAGCCTCTCTCTCTCTCTAGCTCTATCTATATATCAAGTGTGTTCATACTTGATCCATTTAAGTTTGGCTAGAAGATCAAAACCCAGTTCTTATTTGTAGTTGAAGTGCTTACTTTCTTTTTGTTAACGTAGCTTTTAGGTACCTAAAGACACAGTACAGCGTCTTTCAAGTGAACGAGACTGGTTATGACAACTGTACAACAGAAGGAGCACTAGGCAACTGGACTAGTGGCAAAGATTTCATACCTCTTGACAAGGCCAAGAGGTACTACTTCATTGGTGGCAATGGACAGTGTTTCAATGGCATGAAGGTTACTATTCTTGTTCACCCTTTGCCATCACCACCAGCACCTGCTAGCATGGCTGCTAACTCGACATCCTCAAATTCTGCAGCTCCAGTGGTTTTCCATAAGGGGTTGGTGGGCTTGAGAGCTTTGGTTTTGGCATTTGCTTCAATTTGGTTTGGATCTGGTTGGATCTAGTAGTTACTTAGTGATTTAATTTGATGGTTGAAGCTTAATGGAACTGGTATTAATTCTGTTTATTTTCCTCCATTCAGCCAGTTTTTCATGTCTTTTCTTTTTGGATGGGATATTATCTAGAATTGTTTGATTTGGGTTTTTGAAGCTCCATTGAAAAAAAATCTGATTCTTTTCCTCTCTCTTTTTGGCCAACTTTTTACTTGCTCGTTTCCTTTTCTGTTTTTGGCTGAGAACAGCTGAACAATTACCATAACTAGATTCTAACCTTTTTTTTTTAAAAAAAAAATCATGTGTGAGAATTCAATTCAGGATCATGTTCTGTTAAATGTCATAACTTTGCTTACGAGCCATTCGTTAGTGTGCGGGTGACAATATCTGGTATTCACATCAGCAGAACCTTAACGTCTATCGGTGCTCCGATGTCATAATTTCAGGAACTACATGTGTTTGGTCTGGTCAATTCTACCTTATAGAGCAAAGGGGCAAAGCTGAAAAACTTGATGGACATTATAAAGGTATATATGCCTAAGAGTGGCAAATGCAACAGCTGAGCTATTAGACGGCTAGGTTTCTTTTTTCCTGGATATGGTATAATGGGCTTTGATTTCCACTCAATAGTGTTTTCTTTAGGAGTAGATTTTTCAGAGGCCCAATCTCCTCAAGGGGTTCAGTTCAACCAATGACCTCAAGTTCTGTGAAGGAGATTGCCAGTCGGTAGTTTTTTGTACACAAAATATCCATTTCACCCTAGATGGTGTTATGGACGCTATGCAAGTGAGAAATTTTATAATATTTAGAAATAAGTTACTTTATGAATATGCTTTGATGAAAGAATATTTCATTTCTGTCCTTAAGGTTTTAAATTTTTTCAATGTTACTCCTATAGTTTCCAAAAGGTTTTTAATTTGGCCTCCATAGTTAAATGTCCAACAGAACCTATTGAAAGCGAACTTTTCCATCCTTTTTCTCTCACTTATTATTTTTTATATATACATATGATCATGTCTTAAAAATTTTTAAAAAAAAAAATCTTTAAAAGACCTGAAAATTTTCATAATTCGGAAAGTGGCCTATTCACCTCCAGATTTCATCAGTATATATATGATATATTGAAACTTTTTGGAAACTACGAGGATAAGATTAGTCATATTCACCTCCAGATTTCATCACTATATATATGATCGATATATTGCTATTCCTATATTTGAAATGCAATTAGATTTGCAAATCTCAAACAATATTACCTCAATAATTCTATGAAGAAATGGACGAGAAAATGTGTTTATGAGATTTGTTGAATTGTATTAATGCAAAGGGGGTTTATACATACTCCTATATTAGTAATGTTTGAAATATAATCAAGAAAAATTATATCATAACTTTGCAGATATATAGCCACAAATCAAGCCTAAAATGTTTTTAAAAAAAATAAAAATTGGAATTCTAAGTTATTTACAATCATCTAATATATTAAAAAAAAAAAAATCGATTTTGCATGTATATATATGATAGTATAGTTGTGCCCAATGAGACAAGTCCTTGTATAAAGCTCTGCGAGGCCTAAAAGGAAATGTACCACACCATTGATAATTCGCTCTCTTTGAATATTATACTCCCATACAAAAAGGAGAGAAAAAAGATAATGGAGTCAGAAAGGTCAGCTCTTTTTTGGTGGCTGTTGGGGTGGTGGGATTGCTAGTAGGGCATTCCACGGAAAGACTTTTCTTTCATGTATACATTCCCAATTCAGGGTACATTACATGCGCTGCTACGGGTTTGAAACGATGCCTTCACAAGTCCGAGCCCCTGGATAGCAATGATAGATCACAAAGCCATTCTTTTTGCAACCTCGATTGTGTTTTATCTTCATTCTTCAACTGCGTCAGCTCTAGAGATAACGCTCGCAACTCTCTCTCTCTCTCACCCTGTCTCTATCTTAGTTACTGACGAATTTAGCTAAAAGGATTCATGAAAAAGTCAAAACAAATTACATGAACAAAACTTAATTAATTACTATTTTTTTTCTTTTCAGTAATTATAAGCCCATACCATGCTTAACTGAAAAAAAAATACTCGATTAAGATTGATTAATTACATTTCTCGTGTTAAATTAATCTTAAAATCCAATGAGATGACAAAATTCCTCCACGACAAGATTTGAGTACTCATGGAATGTTATTTTGTGATTGGCAGGTGAGAAGGGAGTGGAAAAATGTGTGAGATCTTGCTAGGGCACCATGCAGAAAGAATTACGTACGTGACATGAGCAGAAGAAGTTTATTTTTTCACTCGTGATTATTGTTACACCATTTAGATATGATCGATAAAGCCCCTCCGGTTCTTGCATCCATTTACATGAATGTTCTCATGATACAAAATATTTACTTAAATTAACAAGGAGAAGTCTTGTTGATATGCTTTTATCATTAACATTAAAATTCATAACCAACATTAAAATTAAAATTCATTTGATGCCTTATTAACAAGTCTCAAAGACGCAAGCAATTAATTTATAAATAGTTAGATACAGTGGCGGACGATGGGTAATTTAATGCATAAATAACTACAGGTTCGAAACTCTCATTTATATTCATTCCGCACAGAATAGAATGCATAGGAAACTATGGATGCAACATGTTGATTTGGAGTTGCAGCTACAGTCATCATGCCATGGAAGGTGAAGTATAATAGTGTGAAGAACATGAAAAACAGAGATACCAAAAGGACTTAGCAGCAGTCCATTCAAATCCAATCATGGCATAGACTATTAGACCATAGAACACAGATTGGACGAAAATATGTGGAAGCTAGATGAGGATCTGTGAAAAAAAAAAAAGGGAAAGAAACTTTACCTCTACTCAGATTTCATAAAATTAAAGTTTGTATTTTGTGTTGTGTGACAAGTTGTAACCTGTGCTAATGCATAGGGCAGGGATGAATACATTCCAGCAGCTTTCTCGCTGTAGAACACGGTTCTTTCAACATCAATGCAAAACAGGCTGCACAGAGGATGAATTTTGGATTCCTAGGAAGATAATTGAAGCATACTCGGAACCCTGGCATTTAAAAGGTCTTGTTTCCTTTTCCTATAATTTAAGACAGGAATTAATTCAGAAGGCAGACTCTGGACTTCTGTAGTCTGTATATATAGGTTTTAGCAACCCTTTTGTATAATAGTGTAGGACTAAAGCTTAGTTGAATTGAGATGTAACTTACGTTTTGGAGCCCAGGTTCCAGAATATTGTACCAAACAACAAGGCTGTCGCGGTTGTAAAGAGAAATCTTACGGTGCTATAGGAAGGATTGCGCCAATTCGACCAACGTTGCTTCCATAAATAAGCCAAGCATTGGACAACAAATGACTGCGAGTACTGTGTAGGAAAGAAAAGGTCCTTCGAACCAGGAGGAGGGGTGCTTAATTCCTGAATAAGTGCTTTGTTTCTCCTGAAAGATATACCACACATCAGACACAATTTCATTGCTAATTTAGTTAACTCCTAGTGTTTAAACGCTTTTTTTTTTTTAACTAAAACTCTTTTTTAACGATAGAGTTGCAATTAAACTAGGAGGAGATTCCAGAGTTATATCTATATAGGCTCTACGTACGTACTAGATGCTTCTCTTTTGCATTTATGATATTGGATTGCTGGGTAATTCAATTGATGATGTCAAAGAATCTCTATGGTGGCAAAAGTGACTGATTTATTCTTATGAAAGCTTCAAAGGTATTCATATAACCAAGTTGGCCTGCATCATATGATGTTTGATCAGATGAATCCACTAGAAATATACAAGAAAGCTACGTCAGGTTTGTAAGTCTGTGGATTTACCTTTTGTCTTGAATGTGACAAATGAGTTGCGTGAACTAGCATTTTATGAGATGATCACCGTCAAGTACAATTCGTACTAGAGAAGGTGAGCTAGTCGGATCCATCCGGATAATATGACCCTGAATGGGCTATTTTGTCTGCAAGGGTGAAAGTTCCTTGTTCTCTTAAAGCCCATTTAGTATGGGTCGAAGGACAGGTGAATGATCATTGGCCAGTTGTGGGTAGGAAAATGGGCTAGGCCTCGTAGAGACTCCATCTGGGTATACAGGATGGCGGATGCTCTTCGTAATCGATCCCGTTAGAGCCCAGCCTGTTGGATGCGTTGAAAGTCGATGTTATCAATGGCATTTAATTAAGTTTGTATGATCAGGTATGATGCTTTTTAATTCATCATGATATTAATATTTTTATTTGCTTTTGTTTTTTTTTTTTTTTGGGTCATCAATGATCACAGTGATCCTAACATTATTTCAAATACTATAAACATCTTAACACTACACTTGAAAAAAGGTTGAAAAATGTATATATGTGTTGTTAATCCACTAGGCCGAGGGGCATTGGTCAATATGTTAGAAATTACATCGATTAATTTACTGTATTTCAGGTGTAATCATGCATGATCTCAGCTTGCAAATATATGTAAAATCCTAGCTAGGAAGGAGCATCGGAGAGTGGATTTTCCATATATATGCTAGCTTGTAAAACCCTTCAACCTAGGGTCTCTTCACAAGTGGAGCATTAAGGAAAATTGGAGGAAAAAAATAAAAATAAAAAATTGGAGTTTTATAATGTAAAATTCTCTATCAAGACAGGCAGCACTACGCCACTCACAAGCAGGTTGCGCTCCTCTCATTGATGCAATACACCGTAAAAATAGGATCTCATGATTTCGTTGTCTAGCTTGTAAAATATTGAAAAATCCACTCTCCGATCCTCCTTCCTAGCTGGGATTTTTCATTTTTTTTGTATTGGTACCAACAACAACAACAAATGAATCTGGTCATCGAGATAATAATACAAGAAGAAAAATAACCACTTAATTACCAACTCATTATCTTAAGAGTGCTATGCTATCATCATCATCATCAGTGATGATTTCATATGCATAAAATTTGGAGGCGGCTGGAATTTAAATAAGATCATAGTAATTGTTATCTTTTTATTTATTTATTTGTTTACTTTCTTTAATTTATTTATAAGGAAGATCATGATATCTTCATTCATGATAAGGCTAGTTTTCATGTATTTTAAAAACTAATTATTTTTTAACATGATTAGGAAACACTCTCAAATACATGATTTTAAGTCTTTTAAGAACAATGATCACAAAGGTATCAAAAATCACATTAAAAGGTACAAATAATCTAAAAATTAAATGGAGCCTAAGCATGTTGCTACTATGAAAACTCAAGGTAATTAAGTTTCGTGGACTTTTTCCCAGCTTCTCACAAATCAAAGAAATCTTAATAATTTTTAAAATTCCACTTTCTTTCCTAGCATTATTCGATCCTTTATTGTATTTCAAATTAATTAATTTTATGGATTCACCTTTGATATATATATATATATATGATGTTTTTTTGGATCCAATCGAGAAATTTTTCAATTCAAAAACATAATAGAGAATTTGTTCTCGCGAGCCTTGTCTGAAAATCAAACTCGTGCTCTTATAAAATCTGACGCATGTGCCCATTAACCCGAGTTTAATCATTCTTTGCCAGATAATTTGAGAGACCAAAAGCAATTTCACTCCAACCTGTCAAGTTGGCAACGGCATCATCAGTGATGGTTAATCAATCACTCAGTTTTAAAAACTGACGTAACCAGTGACGTTGATAATTAATGGTGGGGCAGGTACACGCATTTGTGGGATACAAAGAGCACCATGCTTTTAATCTTTTTTAAAAGAATGCACACACATACATATATGGTCAAAGTTGTCTCCTACGCAATGTGATCATCTCATCTCATTGATGCTGTAAACTCATTGCTTAGATGATACAGTAGTGACGGTATTATTCACGGTATTCATGCAAGTCGTTGTAAAGATTAAGGATTAAATCCTCGAAACAATGAAGTGTAATTTCGCTGGCAAGGCAGAGATTTCGGAAAATAAGCTTTGCTTGAAATTTTCGAATTCCATCATGTCAAAGTCAAATATTATAGTAACATTTTTTTGAAGAAGTAACACTTATGAAACGAAGAAGAAGCAGCCTGGTTCTTTTGCAAGTTGAATTCCGTTAGTTCAAGGACAGGAACCGAGTACCATGCATGACCAACTTGACTTTACATGATTCTTTCACAATAATAATTGGCATGCTGTTTTCCCATTTATGTTATAACTTTTTTGTTCGTGCCTTTCTTCGACTTTTCCTTGGATGTGTATATTTTTTCAGAATAAGATAAGATGCTGAATTGAGTGGGGACAAAGAACTGATTTTTTAGAATCTATCCATTATATTATATCACATTAAAAATTATAAAGATATAAAAGTACTTTTTTCTGCCTTTATAAATGGATTATCGTATCATTTGTCTCCTATTTTTATGCCATACCATATTCTTTCTATATAAATATTTTTAGCTGTAACTCCATTTTCTGCTCTAAAAAATTGACTCCTGGAGCCGCCTATGGTCATCCCTGTGTAAGCCATGATATTAATACTATCAGTATAAATACAGGCAACTCTTCGCATTCAGAGGCTTCAAAGGACTCCACTTCTCAATTTTGTATACTCTGTCAACTCAACACCACAAAACCTTAGTTTTCTGTGAATCAACTTTTAGAGAGGGACCCCAAAAGAAGTGGATTAATTTAGGCTTGAAGAAGCTCTACTGATCTTTCAGCAATGGAAGGTCCAGATGATATTTATAGAGCTAGTAGTTTACGAAGAGGTGGTTCTTCTTTATGGACAAACAACGCTACAGATGCATTCTCAAAATCTTCAAGAGATGAAGATGATGAAGAGGCTCTAAAATGGGCTGCACTTGAGAGACTACCTACTTTCAACCGCTTAGAAAAAGGTTTATTAGCTACCTCAAAAGGTGCCAGTGAAATCAACATTCAGAATCTTGGATTTCATGAAAGAAAGGGTTTGCTCGAGAGGTTGATCAATGTTGCTGAAGAAGACAATGAAAAGTTCTTGAAGAAGCTCAAGAACCGCATTGATAGGTAACATTTCCTCTATATGTTACTTTAGTCTAAAATACCATTAGTCACAGAAACTTTGGCTATTAATTATGAGGAAGTGGGAAAAAATGCATGTCAGGAATTCATTTTCTTAACTAAGAAATTTATTTATTTATTTTACTGGGCAAGAAGAGCGGGGAACTCTGTTTTGGTTGTTGAAATATAAAATTTGGTCGTATATTGTTCTTGCTATTTTAGTACTGAATTTGTCGTTTCTTGATCTTTTAGAGTTGGAATTGATCTCCCCACAATTGAAGTTCGATTTGAACATCTGAACATTAAAGCAGAAGCTCATGTAGGAAGCAGAGCATTGCCGTCAGTAATTAACTTCTGTGTTGATATTGCAGAGGTAGGAGGCACCTGCAGATGTTGATCATATGTTGTTATTGCAATGTAACTATTTCTCCTTTCAATTAAATTATTCTTGTATCTGAAATTTTTTCGTTCAATTTTTGAAGGGTTTATTCAATTATCTTCACATCCTTCCGAGTAGAAAAAAACAAATCTCCATCCTCGAGGATGTTAGCGGAATCATCAAACCATCAAGGTGCGATGAGCTAGAATTGAATCATATTTGTTCAGAGTTTCTTAGTTATAAATTTCGAATTTTTCTCATTATTTTTTCTAACCTGCTGGTTGCAGAATGACATTGCTTTTGGGTCCTCCAAGTTCTGGGAAGACCACTCTTTTGTTGGCATTAGCCGGAAAGCTTGATCCTAATCTAAAGGTGATGATATATCCTTTTTTAATTTTGTCAACTTGAATCTTTTCCTTTAAATCTCTTGCTCATTCTCTCATTGAAGGGATAAATTTTCTTATGCAGTTCTCTGGTAGGGTGGCATACAATGGTCACGGGATGAATGAGTTTGTACCCCAGAGATCAGCTGCCTATATAAGTCAATATGACACCCATTTAGGAGAAATGACTGTAAGGGAAACATTGGCCTTCGCTGCAAGATGCCAAGGGGTTGGACACCGTTATGGTTAGTTTCATAACTAATTTTGCTTCCCTTCTTTTGACATAAACTTCTTTCGAAATCTGCAGAGATTGATACCTTTGTTTTTGCATGACTAATAATTTAAGTATTTCGCAATCTGCAGAGATGTTAGCAGAGTTATCAAGAAGAGAGAAAGAGGCTAACATTAAGCCGGATCCTGATCTTGATGTCTTCATGAAGGTGAGAGAAGCCATCATAATGAGTAATTCTTAAGTAGGATGTCAAGCACAAAACATATTTTATTCTGATAAAAACTGAGTATTTCACCTCTATCGACATGGAATTAATAGTTTTTCCAAGGACTCTTTGAGACTAAACCATGAATATGGCATTTTTTTTTAGCCATGTGCCATTATAGCACTGTAAGAAAATTGCTATCGATATTAAGTTGTCTCAAGGAAATTGATTTTGATGTTCGTTATCTTTTTCTGAAATAGGCTATCGCAGCAGAAGGTCAGAAGACGAGTGTGATGATAGATTATATTTTAAAGGTAACATCACAAGGAATGCACCTCAAATCAGTAGAAATTCATGAGAGATAATACCCTTAAAAGCATTAATGCCTTTTTTCCCCCTTAAATTCACAGATTTTAGGACTAGAAGTTTGTGCTGATATTATGGTAGGAAATGAAATGGTTAGGGGTATCTCTGGAGGACAAAGGAAGCGTGTTACAACAGGTAGGAACCCTTTTTAGCCCATTTTCAATTCGAAACAACATTTTTATTTCCATTAGCCATCTCATTTAAGTTGTTGAAACTCTTAAATGATCAAATTATAGGTGAGATGCTAGTTGGACCAGCAAAGGCTTTGTTTATGGACGAGATTTCAACTGGCTTGGATAGTTCAACAACTTTTCAAATCGTGAATTCCTTAAAACAAACCATTCACATTCTCAATGGAACTGCGGTCATTTCTCTTCTCCAGCCAGCACCAGAGACTTACGATCTCTTTGATGACATTATTCTCCTATCTGACGGCCAGATTGTGTACCAGGGTCCCCGCGAACATGTACTTGATTTTTTTGAATCTATGGGCTTCAAGTGTCCTGAAAGAAAAGGAGTGGCTGATTTCTTGCAAGAAGTAAGTAATGAAATGGTGATTTTGTGTTGTCTCATTTAATAAACCAGTGCATAAATGGACCTTATTTTAGCCTTGCATTTAGTTTCGAAGGGTGTTATTAACAGATGATGAATAATAACTTATTGCAGATAACATCAAGGAAAGATCAGCAGCAGTATTGGATGCATAAAGATGAGCCTTACAGTTTTGTCACAGTTAAGGAATTTGTCGAAGCCTTTCAGTCCTTCCACGTGGGACGTAGAATTGGAGATGAGCTTTCAATTCCATTTGAAAAGTCCCAGAGCCATCCGGCTGCTTTGACAACTAGAAAGTACGGCATTGGAAAAATGGAGCTGCTTAAAGCTTGCTTCTCAAGGGAATGGCTTCTTATGAAAAGGAACTCATTTGTCTACTTCTTCAAGCTCTCCCAAGTGAGTTCTGACAGCTGACATTGTTCTGTTTTTTCCTTCAAAAAGCTTGTATATGAGATTGTGATTTTTTTTTTGTTTTCACTGTTTCTCCCCACTACCAGCTTACAATAATGGCTATAATTGCAATGACACTCTTTCTCCGGACTGAGATGCACAAGAATTCAGTATCTGAGGGAGGAATTTATGCAGGTGCTTTGTTCTACACACTGGCATTAATGATGTTTATTAGTATGCCAGAGATTTCCATGACCATAGGAAGCCTTCCTGTGTTTTACAAGCAAAGGGACCTCCTATTCTATCCTTCGTGGGCATTTTCTCTTCCCTCGTGGATCCTTAGAATTCCTATCACACTCATACAAACCACTGGTTGGGTGGCCCTCACATATTACGTAATCGGATACGATCCTAATGTTGGAAGGTAACACAATTTCTAAACAGAAGGGAAAAAAAAAATCTAAATACATTTCCAAGGAGTTTGTAAAGAATTATTCTATTAGCTGATGTAAATTCCCGTATATTTTTGCAGGTTATTTAAGCAGTACCTTGTGCTTGCTGCTATGAACCAGATGGCTTCTGCATTATTCCGCTTTATTGGTGGAGTAGGAAGGACCATGATTGTTGCTAACACCTTTGGGGCATTTGCATTGCTCATATTGTTCGCATTGGGTGGCTTCGTCTTGTCTCATGGTATAGTTACCTTGGTTGTCTAGGAATTTAATTTCTTGATCAACATTAGTCCTTATAAATTACCATGTGCTAATTATTTTTTCTCTGCTTAATGCCATAGACAACATAAAGAAATGGTGGATATGGGGTTACTGGATTTCACCAATGATGTATGGACAGAATGCAATGGTAGTTAATGAGTTCCTTGGGAAGAGCTGGAGTCATGTAATTTCTTGAACTAGACTTTTCTATGTTCATGTATTAAATCTGAACAATCAACTGATAATTTACTTTTCTTCCTAAGGTTCTCCCAAACTCAGCTGAATCACTGGGAATTGAAGTTCTGAAATCTCGTGGATTCTTTACGAATGCGTATTGGTATTGGATAGGAGTAGGTGCACTGGGGGATTCACAATACTATTCAACATTTGCTACACTCTGGCTCTTGCTTTCCTGAACCGTGGGTACCTTTACCTTATCCAATTCTTTTTTTTTTTTTCAAGGGCAGCAAGTAAGGCTTACGTTTTAATGTATTGCAAATTATATTATGCAGCATTTCAGAAGTCTCAGGCTGTTATACGTAAGGATTCTCAAAGTGTTAAACCAGGAGTAACTGGAGGAGCTATTCAGCTATCGAACCGTGAAAGTAGGCACCAAAAAGACACAGGTAATAGAACCCACTCAGAATTTGTATCCAACATAAGGAAATCTGTCATATGTTTCATGCTGCTAATTGGAATTTGAAAACATTCAGATAGCATTTCTGAGGCTAACAATCCGAAGCAAAAAGGAATGATTCTTCCATTTGAACCACATTCTATCACCTTTGATGATATCAAGTACTCAGTTGACATGCCACAGGTAAGATTACTTTGGAAAAAATAGGCAGATTTGTTTTTGTAAATAGGATCCGAAGGGGTAACCTGACTTTCTGTTTGCACTTTGAAGGAAATGAAAAGTCAGGGCATCCTCGAAGATAAACTGGTGCTTTTGAAGGGTGTGAGTGGTGCTTTTAGGCCAGGTGTTCTCACAGCTCTAATGGGTGTCAGTGGTGCTGGTAAAACCACTCTGATGGATGTGCTGGCGGGTAGGAAAACTGGGGGATATATTGAGGGAAGCATCACAATTTCCGGTCATCCCAAGAAACAAGAAACTTTTGCTAGAATTTCAGGGTATTGCGAGCAGAATGACATCCATTCTCCACATGTTACTGTTTATGAATCCTTGCTCTACTCAGGCTGGCTTCGCCTTCCTCCTGAAGTGGATGCTGAAACCAGGAAGGTAGGCATCCATAATCGATATCCTTGCTAGGCTTTTTCTTTCACGTTTCTCTGCTAATGAAATTCTGTGGTCTAATGTTTGAGCAAACATCAGCTCCATGGACTAGGCTTTGAGACTTCCAACAGCCCCAATACCTGAAAAAACTTATGTTGATTTCTCACGTCTAAAATTGCTTTTCAGATGTTCATTGAGGAAGTCATGGAGCTTGTGGAACTGAATCCATTGAGGGATGCATTAGTTGGACTGCCTGGTGTAAGTGGCCTGTCTACTGAGCAAAGGAAGCGGCTGACTATTGCAGTTGAGCTGGTGGCAAACCCTTCTATTATATTTATGGACGAGCCTACTTCAGGTTTAGATGCAAGAGCTGCGGCAATTGTTATGAGAACGGTTAGGAACACTGTGGACACAGGAAGAACAGTTGTGTGCACCATCCATCAGCCTAGCATCGACATATTTGAAGCTTTTGATGAGGTTAGAACTTTTAGCAGAACATTAAAGTTGGCCCTGTATTCTCGTTTCTTTTCCAAATAACAATGACGCATTTAACATGGCATTGCAGTTATTTCTAATGAAGCGCGGAGGAGAAGAGATATATGTGGGGCCTTTGGGTCGACATTCTAACCAGTTGATCAAGTATTTTGAGGTGCGAAATTACGGTTTACCAAATAATACAGGCAGTACATACATGTTTTTGAATCTTTATTCTTTCTCATTTATATAAACTTAATTGTCCAGGGAATCGATGGAGTTCAGAAAATTAGAGATGGTTATAACCCAGCAACTTGGATGTTGGAAGTTACCAGTTTAGGACAAGAAGCGACTTTGGGTGTAGATTTTGCTTCTATATATAAAAATTCAGAATTATACAGGTAAACTCACTCCTTAGCTACTTGTGTACCAAACCAAGTTAAACAGAAAACAATCCATTACCATACCCGCGTCTTGATTCATGACATTGGATAAGAGCATTTATTTACACACTAGGAGTTAAATTAGCAACTAAATTTTGTCTGATGTGTGGCATATCTTTCAGGAGAAACAAAGCACTTATTCAGGAATTAAGCATCCCTCCTCCTGATTCAAAAGACCTTTTCTTTCCTACACAGTACTCGCAGTCATTTGTTGTCCAATGCTTGGCTTGTTTATGGAAGCAACATTGGTCGTATTGGCGCAATCCTTCCTATACCGCCGTAAGATTTCTCTTTACAACCGCGATAGCCTTGTTGTTTGGTACAATGTTCTGGAACCTCGGCTCGAAAACGTAAGTTACATCTCAGTTCAACTAAGCTTTATTCCTAAACTATTATACACCATGTTTGCTAAAACCAATACAGACTGAAGTCCAGAGTCTGCCTAGTGTGTCTGCCTTCTAAATTAATTCTTGTCTTATCTTAAATTATAGGAAAAAGAAACAAGATCTTTTTAATGCCATGGGTTCCATGTATGCTGCAATTATCTTCCTAGGAATCCAAAATTCATCCTCTGTGCAGCCAGTTGTGGCTGTTGAAAGAACTGTATTCTACAGGGAGAAGGCTGCTGGAATGTATTCATCCCTTCCCTATGCCTTAGCACAGGTTACAATTTTTCGCACAACACAAAATGCAAACTTTAATTTCATGAAATCTGCATAGAGATTAAATTTCTTTCTTTTTTTTTTTTTGTCACAGATCCTCATCGAGCTTCCGTATATTTTCGTCCAATCTGTGGTCTATGGTCTAATAGTCTATGCTATGATTGGATTTGAATGGACTGCTGCTAAGTTCTTTTGGTATCTGTTCTTCATGTTCTTCACACTGTTATACTTCACCTTCTACGGCATGATGACTGTAGCTGCAACACCAAATCAACATGTTGCAGCCATAGTTTCATCTGCATTCTATTCGGTGTGGAATCTCTTTTCAGGATTTATAATCCCGAGACCTGTAAGTGATTGCTACTCTTAAGTTCTCTTTAGTTTAGTAAAGCATGCATTCTAGTACCAAAGGACTAATTTTTCTTCCATCCGTCTTGTTTTGTCCAAAACAGCGGATTCCTGTATGGTGGAGATGGTATGCTTGGGTATGTCCTGTGTCATGGACCTTGTATGGATTACTTACTTCACAGTTCGGAGATATAAAAGACAAAATTGAGACGGACGACACAGTCGAAGATTTTGTTAGGAACTATTTCGGTTTCAAACATGAACTTTTAGGAGTTGCTGCAGCTGCAGTTGTTGGATTTGCCACACTCTTTGGATTTACCTTCATCCTGTCCATTAAGTTTTTCAATTTCCAGAGGCGATAGATAACTGCTGAATTATTTGGATTTCAGTTGACAGAAGTTGTTTGTATATATGGTTTCACTATAGATCATATTATCCTCATTGTAATCAGAGGCGGATTTCAAGAAAGAATCATGTCCTCTAGCACTTGTGTACAGGATCATACCAATCCTTAAATGGTTATTTAGTAATGCTGAAAATGAAAATATTCAAATTATACTGTGATTTGCTATTTCAGAAATCCAGAATTCCATTCTCAATTCAAAGGCAGACTAACTTTTGCTACACAACCAGGGAGAGAGGAAAACAAAAAAATTGAGTTAATTTCAATGTGGAATCACACAAACAAATACAAAGCATTTATTTCAAAAAATAAAAATTGGTTAAATAAAAAAAAATGTGAAAAACAGAATTAATACAGTTCAAGTCAAGCCAGGAGCCCTTATAACTACAGGTCCAAAGGGAAAGAAAGCAAATTATATCAGCCATCCTTGAAATTTGTAGGGCCTATCTAATATCCTGCAATAGTCTATTTCCATCACATGTGTATTATGTATATTACTTCTGAATAAAACAAACTCAAGCTTCAAACTTGAGTTTGGCAATAACAAGTCTGTAACGTGGACATGTTCAGGGCTGATGAATTTTTATTGTTGCTTACGAATCATGGCATGGAATGAATTTATATACGCTTTTCGTGCCATCATGTATTTTGTGACTTGGTGTGGGTTTGTTCCACGATATATCCATCAATTTGATCCAATAGTACGAAGATATCAAAAAAAAAAAAAAAAAATCCTCAAGAATTGAGAGGTTCAAACTCAAACCAATGAGTTATTTATGAATTAAGTTATCCATGCTCTGCCATTGTATCTATCTATTATAAAAATTAATTGCTTGCATCTTTGAGGCTTTCGAGACTTGTTAATAAGGCACCGAATGAATTTCAATTTTAATGTTGGTTATGAATATTATGACTTGGTCTGGGTTTGGTCCATGATATAATTTCATTAATTATGCAATAATATGAAGATATCACTGCATGCATTGATTAACTGGTTTAAATATACACTGCAGTTATAAAAACGATGGCAATCATGATTGCAGAAATTGCAGATTGTTTTAGGATTACCATGGAAGAAACATTCCTTTTTGCTTCAGATTGCTGGCCTCGAAAATGCTCTGTGTCTTTACAAAAGAGAAGCTGTTCGAAATTCCTCCGCTAAATACTTGTTGGATGTTACTAAATTAATTAGCAGCTGAAAAACTGTCCTTTTTGAAATTGATTCAAAGAAAACCTAAAGAGTTTGTGTTCCTGGGTCAGAAGAGCACAAAATGAGAAATGGGATTTTCTGAAGAACTAAATGCCAAGAGTTGCATATATATATATATATATATATATGATCGGATCAATTTTACATCAACCGAGACTAAATTCATCACTTACTTTCTGGTTAGGCCAGCTCCAAGAGTTGCATTTATATAAACTGATACTATAACATATTTTTGGGGTTTAATTTCAATTTGCCTAGAATGATTTAGGGTTAGTCCAGATTTTCTCCTTGTGTTTTCAAACAACTCAATGTCTGTACTCCGTTTTTTATTTTTATTCTGTTTTAACTCAGTTTACTGCAGATGTAAGATATAATAAATAAAAAATGAGGTCTAAAGGATGAATACTCAAACATGATGCTTTCAGTAATTTATCTAATAGGAACCAAATTGAAGTTTGGAAAACAACAGGGAGTTTATGCAATTGAAGAAAAGCAGGAACTAGAATAAAATTTTAAAAATAAAGGAATAAAATTGAAAAAAACAGCACCCAATTGTAAATAAGTAAATTAGATAAGGATTACAATACAAATTCAGAAAACTAAAATGATTGAATTGAAAACCAAACACCAATACCACCAAACCAAAAGGAAAAGGGACCACTTCTTAGTTTATGAAGCTACATGTACATGATTTTAATGATTTCACAAATTATTATTTTTTTTTTAAGAAACAGAAAAAAATAATATAAAAAAATTGATCAGAAAATATTTTAATTTTTTAAAATAATATAATATTAAATTATGTATGATAAAAATTAATTAAATAATTAAATAATTAGTTTTTGAAACAAGAAAGATAGATGAATTCGATTCTAAAGAATAGAGAGACTAATTTATAATTTACTCCCTAAAATGAGAGTATATTGGATGATTTACCCCTTTTTTTCACTTGAACAAATTCTTCAGAGTCCTTGAATGCTGTGTCCTATACCTTACAAACACATAATATTGCCTATGCTTAAAGCATATGTTTTCCTTTTTATAAAACCGAACCTTTTTCCTCTTCTAGAAAAGGAACAAAACAACGATAGAAAAGCAGGCAAAAGTTGGAATACGATACACAAATCATTAAATGATTCAACACTTTCATTAGGGAGTGGTGAGTAATCTCTCTGTTCCTAAGCCCCTTGTGACCAGATGATTTTTGTAGCTTTATTAATCCATGATTATGACATGTCCGGTTCCTGACTAGTCAACAAAGAGCACCAAAATCAAAGGAGCAATCATCTCTACTAGCTGCCACAGCAGTTAAATGAATGGTGAGCCTGAATTACCTTGGTTACAAACATATTTTGTTGGGGACCAACACTCATAAATAGGTATATAATTCAAAAGCAGAAATGATGTCCAATAATGCACCACCGTATTCAAACTGAGTTTTGAAAATGGTTCGCTTTTGTTCTTGCTTTAGTTTTCCTTATCTCACAAACAGGTTCGCAACTGAACTATCAAGTTTGGTTTCTTCAGGTTCCATTTCTTAGTCTATAAAACTTACACAGGTAATGGAACCCAAGTTGACCAACCAAAACAAGCAGCTTCCATAGGCTTATGAGGACAAGAAAGATAGAGAACATTTATAGTTAAGCAAGTCTTTGACTAAACAAGAAAGATTGCACATTACCATGAACCAGAATTGCATCTAATTAGAGAGAGAGAAAACGAAAAATCATTCATCTGATTTACATATAGCATTATAGCCTCAAAGAACAAAGGTTCACATCCAAAATGTGCTAACAGATTACAGATTACAACTTCCATCCTATGTACCACTCAGCAAAAAACCCCAAATGCAACATGATAAATGGAGGAAAACAAAGAATATGTACTGAACCTACTCTGCATTGGATTTATGTTTTCTCCTCGACCTACTAAACGATTTGGAAGGTGGAGAAGGAGAAAACTCGAAAGGTAGAAGTTGTTGGTCCATCTCCCCTTTCAAAATCTTCACTATCTCTCCGATATCTGGCCTTAATTCAGGCATCCTCTGCAAGCATGTCAGCGCCAAGTTTATGCACAAGCTTGCCTGCTCCTTATTATACTCATCTTTCATTCTCTCGTCTACAAGTTCTAAGATGTTCCCAGTTTGAGCTAACTGCCTACACCAACTTATTAAATTTGCTTTCTCAAGTTTCATGGGTGAAGCAAGAACATGCAATGGCCTTCTACCAGAGACAATCACGAGGATTAAGACCCCTAAGCTGTATAAATCAGCCTTCTCCATCAAGTACCCGCATCCACCATATTCTGGTGCAACATAACATAGCGTGCCTCTCATGCTTGTTGTGCTGCTTAACTCGCGACTAAAAAGATCCCCACTCCACATATCACTTCCAGCAGATCGCGCATTCTTTTTCCTCCATCCCCTTCTGAAACTGAATTCCCCATTTTCATCAGTATCATTTTGGTTCTGATCTCCTAATGTCTTTCGTCTATGGAATCGAAACCTGCGACCAAGATCAAAATGTGGAATTTTAAACCCTTTTTTCCACTTTGTTTCAAGATTCTTCACCTTACTACCCTTATTGTTTATCTCATCCAAGTGCTCTTCTTTCCACCACTCTTGCATCTTCCTATTTTTCTTCCGACGATTTTTCCTGCCTTCAGATTCTTTCTTCTCAAATCCACTAACATGATTTTCAAACTTGAATTCTTTTAATCGAGGATGTTCATTTGCATCATCTAACGTATCCAACGGGACTGCACGACACAATTCTGTTCTTTCAGGAGTACTTTTCTTTTCGTCATCCCAATCCGGATTTATTGAGGGGCAAATTTGGCTCCCTATCCACTCCATAACATAATCTTTACTGCACAATTCACCACTCCCATCCTGTCTCCACCACCAATCCTTTCCCCATTGTTTTGTGCTATCCGAATCATCAACACCCGAGGAGCCATTACAATTCAACTTCTTACTATGATCATTGCTACAAAACTCATCATCGTAAGGCACAAATTTACAATTCCAATCATCCCCGCCAATATCAACACTTGAAACCCCCTTACCCTTCCCATTCCCTACCTTAAAATCACTCTCACTCACAATATTGGCATTATAATTCAAAGAATTCAAGTTCAAAGCTTTAACATTACAACACGTTCTACTATTTTTTGACGAAGAAGAAGCCTGTAAAGCAAGAGCAAAATCTACCTCATGACAACTCTCCACAGGGGTACCAATTGCTGGTGTCTCTGCAGTCAAATTCCCTGAAAGCTCTTGACTCTTCCACAGCTCTTGACTCTTTCCCAAATCTTGACTAAACAAATCTACTCCAAACTCCCCTTCCACCTTAATCCTTGATAACCCAAAATCTGAAATCTTTGCTCTCAAATCAAAATCAAGCAAAACATTGCTGGGTTTAATATCTCCATGAATCACTGGAGGGTCACATCCAAGGTGCAAAAACTCAAGTGCTTTTGCAACATCAAGAATGATATTGAACCTTCTCTCCCAGCAGAGACTCACATGACCATCTCCAAATAACAACTCTTGCAAACTTTTATTTGGCACATACTCATAAACAAGTAACCGCTTATTCTTTTCAACACAGTACCCCAAAAGAATAACCAAGAAAGGTGATCTTAAACCACCAAGAATCTGCAACTCATTCTGAAACTCTCTCTCTGACTGTAAAGAAACAGTGTCAAGTTTCTTGATAGCATATAACTTGCCATCTCTAGCAATGCCT